GTATATATATTTAGATAATAATAGGAAAGAAGTATCAGAATTCTTATTTTAGCTATATTATTTAATACTATTATTTATTCAAATCATTAATTTAAATTTTTGATGATTGTTTCGATTAATTTCATTTATATTTTGTCAAAGTGTCTATATACATATATTCAAATCTGGAAAAAACTTCTTGAAAATTGCTTGATCTTTTAAGTATTTCTGTTTAAAATTTTAGATAAAAGGAATAATTTAAAACATTTTTTATATTTTTGTATATGATAAAAGACACAAATAAATTAAATGTACAGGGTGATTATTCAAATCTTGTAAAAAATTCTCTGACCTTCTAGGTATATTTATTTAAAATTCAAGATAAAAAAGAGAATATTTTAAAGATTTTTTGATGAATTGTTTAAAATAAATTTTTTATTGTATGTGTTTTTTAAATATTTTTAACATTTTTTCAATTAGATACGAAGATAAAACACAGAGCCTTTTAAGTATTGGATTTATAAATGTATTAAAAAGCTATAGCACTTTCGTGAGATAAACATTTTCACTTTTTATGTAAAAATTCCAATAATAAATATATGTACTATATATTCAATATTTTATTAGATATTGAAAAAACATTGAATACATTGAAACAGAAAAATAGATATTTATAATATTTATAATATTTATAATATTTATAATATTTATAATATTTTATACTTTTATAATATTTATAATATTTTAAATACATAATTTGCTCTATTGCTGTTTATAATATAAGAGCAAAATTATAAAAGAAAGAAGATTTTTTTTTAATTCTCGAATCCTAATAAAATTCCATGAGAGACTTCCCTGATTTTTCTTGGTACAAAAGAATCCCTGAGAGATTTTCCAAGGAGCAGATAGTGATTATACAAGATACATTTGACACAACAATGAATATGAATGTGCTAAATATTTCTTTATATTCATCTAAATTGAATCATAACCATTTTGCTCGTGCAACGTTTTTCTAGAATGACTGGATAATATCCTTCTTTTTTACAATATTTACTGTACATCGGAGATAGTTGCACTTTTTTTAATGTGATTTCTCGAGTACATCTAGACTTCTAAACTTCTTGTTCCTATAACGATAAAAAACGCGATGAACACACGGTATCCATGAAACATTTAACGACACTTTAATTATATATTTTTGCGTCGTAAGCTTCAAAAAAGGATGATACCGATCATCCTTCTTAGAGTTGCACGAGATACCAAGATTAGTCTTGAAATTGTCTTGTTTTGTCTTGAATTTCAAGACAAGATCAAGACAAGATTTTTAATTAATTATCAAGACAATACCAAGACTAAGACTGTCAAGATTATTAATTTTGTCAAGATTATTGGTTCTCAAAAAAACTAAAATATTTATATTTGTAAATGAAAAAAATTTTTTTTTTAATATATTCGAATTTAAAAAAATTTTATTGAATAAAAACATTTATATTGATAAATTTAAAAACATTTAATATTAATACAATATAATATTTTTATAAATTAGAAATCAAACTCGCAAATTTTAGACATTAAAGAGCATTTCACCCAGGAATTGATACACATTGGTGCTTTTAAAGATTTACTTTGTAATCTGATTCTATTTTTTGACATAGTCAGAGTTCCTATTGAGAAAAGTCTTTCTACTGACACGGACGAGGTAGTTGAACTTAAAATGTCTCGAGCCATTTTTGACAATGTGGGATAAATGAATTTGATTTTTTTACCACTCCAAAATATTTATATCTGCACATTCCCTTGGAGCCTGTAAATAGTTATTAATTTCTGTTTTCTATGAAACAGCAAATGTTTTTTTATGTAAATAGATGGCATTTATATTGATTACATAGTAATAATTATAATTAAAATATAATACAATAGTAATAATTATTTCAAATTATATTACAAAAATTATGTTAAATATTATTTAAATAATTTTTTAATATTAGATAAAAAATTGTTAATAAAATCGAGACAAGACAATACAAGACGAGAATTTTGCTACCAATATTCACTCAAGACCAAGACAAGATTTAAATTTTTGAAAATTTTCAATATCAATATAATGTATAATATTCAATATCAATATCAATACAATTCAATATCAATACATTGTCTTGTCTTGGATCTTGTGCAACCCTAATCCTCCTCAAGAGTAAGTTTCCACAAGAATCACGATGAAAAAAAGCCACGTCCAAGTTCAGCAGACAGTGATAATCGGATCGGACTTTCTGTGCAGCTTATATTCCACGCGCTTATACTCGTATATCTCTCAGATAAGCCAAATAAAACTGCTGGTGGAAAACAGACTGTTACGTGCGCGAGCCAGCGACAGAAATATCCAGCCTTGACTTCATCGCGATCCACGTGTCGATTTTCTCCTCCGAAGATTCATTCTTCGCTCCAGAACTGCTGCTCCGAAAGGTTCATTTGCTTGATTTTTGAGATAGAAAGAGAGAGAGAGAGAGGGAGAATTGACAAGCTGCTCATCTCCGTGCGTTTGCACACTCGATATCGCGATGTCATTGAAGCGACCACGCTTGTCATAGGAATATCGTAGGAATCCGACTGACGCGATGCGATCGGACGTATCGAAGTCTACGCGACGTGTCCCGTCGTGGAGAATGAACGACCATAATCAGCGAACATGTCCCGCGATCTGCTCTACCATGAGCAAGGCAAGGTCGTCGAGAAAAATGCGATTCAATCGCTCCAAGAGTCTTCGGAGCGATATCTGAAAAATTGAGAAGGTATCCTCTTAAGGATGTTTGTTGTACCTATTTTCAAAATATTGAGAATTTAATGAAAATTGTACAGAATGTCCTTACATATGTTTAGAATCTTCGGTACAATTTTTAAATCGATTCACTAAAGTGTTCACAAGTTATAAGGATTTTAATTTGCACCGAATTAACATGTATCTTATGGGAAACGTATAACCACGTCGATTTAAATTACAAAAACACATGGAAATAATATTCAGAATTTGTTTAAAATTTGCAAAAGTTTAGATACAGAGGAAATATTTGGTCAAATAATATTATACAAGTATTAACTGGTTAAAAAGATATTAAATATAATTCAATGAAGTTAGCCATGTATCACAAGGCGAAATTCTCTGCCAAAAGTTAATCATTTCGATTAACAAAATTCGGAATATTTCACGTCAAAAACGCAATAAATATTAAAAAATACATCTCTACGCTGTAGCTAAGATCAAATTGTAATATTCCACACAATTTCTCATACTCAAAATACACCAAAAGTGGATATATTCGTCAATACTGATTTTCAGTTATTTTTTATTGGGATTGTACATACAAAACATCCTTAAAATACCTAATTTTAAAATGACACTATTTTGTTATTCTCCAATTTTTCCTAATAAAAGTAGATTCAGTATCCCAAAAACATCCTACGGAATAAAATTGGATCAAATTTTCTTTTTTCAGATAATTATATAGGAGTAGCATGTCATATTATTGAATCATGTTTTTTTTGAACACACAAAGGGGCTTTATTGAACAAAGAAAACTTTAAGATTTTTAAAAATATTAATGTATGTAAAAATATTAACATTTAAACATCAATAAAAACATATATAAAACGCTAAAAAATTTAATATATTCAACAAAATTCTGAAAAATCATTAATTTTTCTATCTACAATAGATTCAGCCTTTAATTAGAAGAATATCTCCAACTGCGCATATCGATATTTAAAACTCATGAAAGTAAGCTTAAGGATGTTTTGTAACCTATTTTCCTTCTTAAAATGCTTTATTCTTCGAAAAAATATACGCAACTTATTTATTTATATATATTTTTTTAATATTTAATATTTTTATATTTTGTATGTACAATGCCAGCAAAAAGTAGCTGAAAATCAATATTGACGAATATCCACTTTTGGTGTATTTTGAGTATGAGAAATTGTGTGGAATATTACAATTTGATCTTAGTTACAGCACAGAGATGTATTTTTTAATTATTGCGTTTTTGCTGAAATATTTCGAATTTTTTTAATCGAAATGATTAACTTTTGGAAGAAAATTTCGTCTTGTGACAGATACATGGCTAACTTCATTGAATTATATTTAATATCTTTTTAACCAGTTTTAATATTTAATATTTAATATCTTTTTAACCAGTTAGTACTTGTATAATATTATTTGAGCAAATATTTCCTCTGTGTCTAAACTTTAGCAAATTTTAAACAAATTCTGAATCTATTATTTCCATGTGTTTTTGTCATTTGAATCGACGTGGTTATACGTTTCCTATAAGAACACATGTTAATTCGGTGCAAATTAAAATCCTTATAACTTGTGAACGCTTTAGTGAATCGATTTAAAAATTGTACTGAAGATTCTAAACATTCTATACAATTTTCATTAAATTCTCAATACTTTGAAAATAGGTACAAAACATCCTTAGGTATCTCGGAGATCTTAAACACTTGTAAGAATTAATTTCTTTTACCGCAAACTTATCAATCTACTATCGGAGAGGAAAGTGATGCGCACATTTTGGAATAAAACTTTTCGGAAATAACACATATCGCGAATGTAATAATATTCGACCACGAGATAAACATTCGTAGATTCAAGGCGAGCATTTGCTACTGATGAAAGATATAGCTAGAATAAAATACATACGTGATAAGATAGACTATCTGCAGCAAAGCGATCTTATCTTTGAATTTTTTATTGATTACATGAGGAAAAGTCGTAAATTAGTTGTCGAATTATGTATTATGGTAAAAGAATCTTGTGGTAAATTAATGGTAAATTATATATCGGCGATTAATTTTTATTTTAATCGAAATTTCAAGTGATTTAATTATCTAATTAAATATATAAATATGTAAACGATTTTCGACTGAATTTTCACTGTCACTTCCTTATTATTCAATAATTTAAATTTCCTGATTATATATTAAATGTTCTTTATTAACCTTTAGTATCTTGTTTTGGACAGGAACAAGACATAGGATGGGCCGAGTCGTGCAAAGAGGTGTCGTTCAACATTGAAGGGGAGGAGTGCCTCAAAAAAGCGAGAGAAGCAGGAGAGCGTGAAGGATGCCTGCTTCGTCACAAGCCGCCGCAGCCGAGCGGCGAAACGAAAGGATGGTTAATATACTTGTCCTTTATTTAAGATTGCAAAGGACTCAAGACAACATTCATAACAATATCGTATTGATATCGAAAATTTTCGAAAATTTAAATCTTGTCTTGAATGAATTTTCGTAGCAAAAAGTTCGTTTTTTATTGTCTCGTCGCGATTTTATTAACAATTTATATAAGAATTTTTATTTTCATAATACTGAACAATTCTTCAAAATAATATTGAAAATAATATAATTTAAATAATTATAATATAATTTAATATAATATAAAATCAATGAATATAATATAATTTAAAATCAATGAACCGCGTACATATGCAAAGTTTTATGTAGCTAAATAATTGTATCAAATTTTATATTGTTTATTTTGATCATTATATTAATTATTTCTAAATTTGTTAATACAAATGTTTTCATTTATTAAGTAAAATTTTTTAAAATTGTGTATAATATAATGTAATGTTTTTCATCTAATTTATACAAATATATATATTTTAGTTCTTTTAAAAAAATCAATAATCTTAACAATCTTAGTCTTGCTATTGTTTCCATAACTAATGAAAAATTTTCTCTTGATCTTGTCTCGAATTTCAGACAAGATAATATCAAGACTTCTGTTGATATTTCGTGCAATTCTAGTTGTATTTTTAACCAATAATTAAGGCGATATATAATCCACGATTAATTGAAATGAATATTTGTTTGAAACGAGATAAATTTTCTATGGAATACGAAAATTAAAAAAAATTTAAATTGAATAATATTTAAATTGAATAATATTATAATAATATTCAAATACATAATATTCTTAAGATTTATTTTCATAGAAATTAAATAAATATTCACTTTGCATATAGGTTTTATCTAATTACTCTTTCTTTCAAGTTTTATTTGATTGTATTAAATATATATAAAATATATATAAATAAATATATATATAAATAAATATATATAAATAAATATATATTAAATATATATAAAAAAAACAATAGAGACATGATCTCGTCTATTTTCTCACAGCTGACGCACGAACCACCGAAATTGAAAACCACTTTGAAAACGCCTCCCAAGCAAGCGACCAATCCTTTGCAATTCGTCAAGGTCGGACCATGCTCCTTATATCGAACCGCACAGGAGCAATTGCAAAAAGTTCAAGAAGTAAAGAAGATCAAACAGGAAGTTCGCGATGATCCTGAAGATTGGCAATCGGTAAAATTTGAATTTGATACGCATTTTTTTAATAAAAAAAAGAGATATTTTCCAATACTTTCCGATAACTTTGAATTTATATATTTAAATTTCATATAATTAATTAATTACAAGTTCTTGATTTTTTATCTGGATAAAAATCCATTTTGTTGAAAATTTTTTTCCTGACTTTGCTCTATTTTTTCAATTAAAAAATTTTTTTTTATTGAAATATAAAAAATGTCATAAAATAAATCGGAATACTTATTAACTATTATACTCATGCAAAATTACAAAATTTACAAAGAGACTTGAAATCTTTTACCGAGTACTTTTGCTTTTTAAATATTATATACATTATTATATCTTATACAGGGTGAGGGAAAAGTATGGAAACCCCTAAATTTTTCGAAAACTATGCATTTTAGAAACAAATGTTTCAGACAAAAGTTGTAAGGTTTCAAGTAATGCATTACGTAGCAATATCAATATAACCTTGAATAGCACCGTCACATAAAAATCACTTTGAATTTTTTAAATGGAAGCCCCTACTTTTTATTATATATTCTTGTAGCTTGTTTCAAGAGCTTTCCAAAATACTATAATAAAGTATTTTTTCAGTGAGTACTTTTCAAGTTATAAGGCTCGAAATAATTTATTAATTTTACATAAACCATAAACAATAAAATATTTTTTCTTCAAAACTATATTTTTTCTTTACATCAATTGATTTTTCACATTATCTTATGCATAAAAGTATGAAGGTGAGATAATAAAAAAATGAATATTTTATTAAATATTTCATGATTTAGGAAAAATTAAGAAATGATTTCAAGCCTCATAACTCGAAAAGTATTCAATGAAAAAACACTTTAATATAGTGTTTTGGAAAGCTCTTGAAACAAGCTATAAGAATGTGTAATAAAAAATAGGGGGTTCTATTTAAAAAATTCAAACTGATTTTTATGTGAATATCAGTATGATCTTGACGGTGCTATTCAAGGTCATACTGATATTGCTACATAATGCGTTACTTGAAACCCTACAACTTTTGTCTGAAACATTTGTTTCTAAAATGCATAATTTTCGAAAAATTTAAAGGTCTCCTTTTTCCTCACCCTGTATATTAAGAATTTTTTAAACGATTAGATTAAAAATTAACGAGCATTTTTTTCAGTAGCAAAATCAATATTTTGTCCGCAGAATTTGGATAACTGGAAGAGTAGCCGGAGGAAGCGGCAGGAACATATAATCGAGCGAGTGGTGGAGGTGAAGAAACTCGAGTTGGAGGAACACGATCGTCAGCGTCGACGAAATAAAACTTTTTCGGAAATGATGGAGGAACGCGGTAACAGAGGTCGCAAACTGAGTATCAGTTTGGCCATGTACAACGATGAGGATGCGAACGATCTTAGCGACCTTGGAATCGGTACCAGCAGCGGCAAGAGCTCGGTCAGCGGTGATACGCATGATGACACTCACAGTGTCTTGGTACGTATCCATTCAAATAGACGGTATGTTTTGCATTAGATTTATTTTGATCGAAGAGCAACCTTTTAGGCTTACAAGGAAAGGGTCGGAAGTGTCCCCCTCCGATTTTAATGAGCTTTGAATATGTTGTAGTCTAGATCAAAATAGGAGACACGTATTTTTTTATAAGTGCTGAGTCGGCCGTTAAGGGGGTGAAACACCTTCTTGAAAAAAATCGATTTTTTCATTTCTCAGCGGATACCGTCGAAGCGATAAGAGATATAAACAAAAGTTTCAAATAAAAGTTTTATGGTCTTTAATGTACTTCAAAATCATGTAATCAGATTTGTCGAAAATGTCATATTTTTCGAAATCCCCCCCCCCTCCCTTTTAATGTTTGAAAATTTTTAAATTTGTCTCATAACAAAACTTATAGCTCATTTAACGACAAATTCAATCATATATAATAAAGTTGTATTCCGAAGTCACATTTTTCAGAAATAAATTAAAAATATCCCTATACACTACTATACGCCCGCTTTATCCGCCTTATGACGCTCGTTATTCACAGCGACAGTCATTTTTCTTCGCAAACTCACAGAGGCAACCATAAATTAGCAATAAATAATTTATGAGAATATATTTTTATAAATTATAGAAATTATATTTATAAATATAATTATAAATTATATAATAATTATAATTATAATATATGTCTATATTATGTGACAATAAATATACATATAATTTATATGGAAAAGTAATGTTTTTAATGCATGAAAAATAAAACTAGTCGGACAAGGAAAATTATTGATCAGATGCCGATGTTAATAGATTCAATTCTATGAATAAACAGATGTCGCATTCGCGAAATGAGTTGGTGCAATATATTATTTTATTAACAACTGCGTGCAGTGGAACACATATTACTATTAAAGCGTCTATCGAATATACGCGAGCGCGATATAGTAAGCGAGTAAATATATTTATATATATAAGAAAATAATTAAAAGGATTATAACTTATAAAGCGAGCGAAAAAATGCGTCGCGATAAGAAAGTCAGCTGCCCGAAGTGCTGATACAGCCAGTATCACACGGCCAAGTCATCAAACAGAGGAAGAAATCACTCTCGAAATAGCGCTGAATTGCAATAAAATGCGAGGAAGTCTTCGGACTTCCTTCGCTTGCATTTTGATCACGCCACTTTAGAAATAACCAATGATTTTATTTGGTCATGCCACCGCGCGATCCTCCTCCGATAATCGTTCAGAACCGGAGGCGTTAAAAGCCACCGCCTAGAAGCGGCGGACAGTCACAAATCAGTTATCAAATAATTAACAAGTGCTCGAGTTAATTAACAAGACTAGCCGTTATCCTGAAAAAACAATTGTGCCCCACGCACACAACAATACAGTATGTATGTACTTTTTCGATTTTTAAAACTTTTATAGTTTTTTGCTTTTACTTACACTTCATTCAAAATTGCGGTTTATCTGTTTTGTTTTAATGTATTTAAATTATAATTAATATTTTATTACTTTATTTAAGTTATGTGATAAAACTGTTCTATTTTTCATGAAACTCGGAAAACGTAACAAATTATTAATACGCATTAAATAATAAAATATTTTTGTTGCTAATAAGTATTTTTTTGCTAATATTTATAAAACAAATATACATAATGTTAATAATTTTTTTAGATAATGTTTAATCCAAGAAATGTAGCAGTACTGCTATACACTGCACTGTATATGACTGGGGAATTCCCAGAAAGTCCTGTTACAACAGATGAAAATGAAACAAAAGACATGATGGAAAATATGCTTCGATCAATGTATGAAGAAGCGTTTGAAGTTTATGAAGAATCATCATTAGATTTTCAAAACGAATTTGATATACCTGAAGTAGAACCTGTAATTGATGAAGAAAGAGAAGAAGACACATATTTTGTAAAAGAAATTGAATGTGTTGCGGATTCTGTACCAATAGAATATAAAAGAAATGCAGTAGAGTTATGGAGAAGTGGAACAAAAAAGTCAAGAACTCTTGCATCTATAAGAAATAGATTTCGGAAAGTCACGTCATTACGTCAATTAAGAAGATGGGAGCAGCAAGTAAATCAAGGTGGCAACAGATTTGATAAACTGAAAGAAATTTCAACATATACGTTAAATAAATTCCATGAAGGTATTGAAAAGGGAATAATTATTCATGACATTGATATTGCTCGATGGGCTCTTCGCGCACAGAAGGAAGTAAATCTACTTGGGTTTACAGCATCATTATCATGGGTAAAAAGGTTTAAGCTTGCACATAATATCGTATCTAGAAAAATTACAAAATTTATAACAAAAAAAATTTAGCGTCAGACAAAGATTTAGAAGCACGAAGCAAGTCATTTATCGAAAATGTTAAATCTTCTATTATACAATATGGAATTGAAAATGTATATAATTCGGACCAAAGTGGATTTCAATTAGAATTTCATTCCGGTCGTTCACTATCACCTATTGGTATTAAAAAAGTAGAGCGCATAGTACAATCCATATCAGCAACTACACATAGTTATACTATACAACCTATTGTTTCAGCTGATGGTAGATTATTATCGCCTCTGTTTATTGTTTTAAAAGAACCTACTGGAACATTTGGTCCAATAGTAAAAGAAACAATGTTTAAAGATAATAATATCTTTGTCATGGCATCAAAATCTGGAAAATTAACATCGCATCATTTTGAGATCTGGATAAAAGAAGTGTTTTTTCCAAATGTTGGACCAAAATCAGTGTTATTATTAGATTCTTGGACTGGTCATTGTCCTGATATAATTCAAAGAAACAAACCAGATTTTATAGACAATATTAATTTGTTAACTATACCAGCTGGAGCAACGGGAAAAATACAACCTTTAGATGTATTCGGTTTTCGTTTATGGAAAAATTTTGTTAGACATTTTTCAGATACCATCATGCTTTTAGATCTTGACGTCAAGCTTCATTCAAGAAACAATATTTTAAAATTACAATCATTAACACATAATCAATTTTCATCACCAAGGTTTAAAAATTTATTCAAATATGCATGGTATAAAAGTGGTTATTTAGAAAAGAAACCAGAAGAATTTGATACACCAGTAGATTTTTGTTTCAAAACTAATTTAAAACCAACATGTGATATTTGCGGTGAAATTGCTGTAATTTCTTGCGCATGGTGTAAAAAATCCCTTTGTATAAATCATTTCTTTCATGATCATCATCTTTGTAACCGATATCAACCATGAATATTTGTTATTCTTGTATGCAATAATTATGTACGGTATTTTATGTAATATTTCCATATACATATATATAATGACTTCGGAATACAACTTTATTATATATGATTGAATTTGTCGTTAAATGAGCTATAAGTTTTGTTATGAGACAAATTTAAAAATTTTCAAACATTAAAAGGGAGGGGGGGGGATTTCGAAAAATATGACATTTTCGACAAATCTGATTACATGATTTTGAAGTACATTAAAGACCATAAAACTTTTATTTGAAACTTTTGTTTATATCTCTTATCGCTTCGACGGTATCCGCTGAGAAATGAAAAAATCGATTTTTTTCAAGAAGGTGTTTCACCCCCTTAACGGCCGACTCAGCACTTATAAAAAAATACGTGTCTCCTATTTTGATCTAGACTACAACATATTCAAAGCTCATTAAAATCGGAGGGGGACACTTCCGACCCTTTCCTTGTTAGTAAAATTCTCTGTTTTTTTTTTTGATAAAATCCATAAAAAAAGTCGGTAAAAAAGATCGATAAAAACTTTGATTTTTTTCTAGTAAAATGCTAAAATACTGAGATTAATATGAAACCTATTTATTGATATTCGTTAATTGAGAGTGTTTTCTAATTTAAGCTTTATCTAAGATTCTAAAAAATTCGAAAAAAGAATAAAATTAAAAGAAAAAGATGATAATAAATTCAGAATTGATGCAAATAAATTTTTCATTAGAGGACGTCGAAGTAATCAGATCTATGTATATTAAAAATTTGTTATTTTATTATATTTTTTTTATTAAATTAAAAATTAATATAAAATTTAGTAATATTTACATCTCTAAAAATTTTGTTTTAAAAATTTCTTATATTAATTTGAATTAAAACGGACTTATTATCAGATTAATTTTATTTTGCATAAAATTATATTACATAAATATACATAATTTTATTGCATAATTATTACGTACATAATTATAGTGTTACATATTAGTTATTTTTATCATTGTTATCAATTTATTGCATTGAATAAAGTAAATAAGTTCAGGATGAAAACGAGAATTTATTTTTTCTATTTATTTTAAGATAGGATTGGATATTTTCGGCTAACTCTGCAACCTTTTAATCTATCGACACATGGATTTATGGATAAGATTTTCCAATTTTTCCTTCGCAAATTATTTATGAATTTATATAAAAAAAGCTTCATTTTTTTAACAAATTTATGTCTGCGTAAAAGTATATAGTAAATTTATAAAAAATTGTCAAAATTATCATCAAAATTTTCTTAAAAATTTTGTTTTTTATCCGTTATATGCCTATGACCACTATTTATTTGTTTATATCATACATGTTATATTGTTCTGATTTAGTTTTAATTGTCGCTTGCTCAAAGAACACTTGTTCTTGTATTTTATATACAAGGTGTTTCAGACCACCGATACCGTCCATTTAAAAACTAGAGAAGTGGTTATTTAAAAAAAGTAAAAACATTTTCTTTATAATCGGGTGTACTCTATCGAATGGTGATATTTTCAACTTCTGGATCCGGCCGGAAATAGACGATTCGGACCGGAAGTGCATTTTTTTAAATGGAATCCCCTATTTTTATTTCATATTCTTGTAGCTTATCTCGAAAGCTTTCCAAAACACTATAATAAATTATTTTTCCATGAAGTACTTTTCGAGTTATGAGGCTTGAAATTATTTCTTAATTTTACATAAACCATAAAATATATCTTGTAAAATATTTATTTTTCGATTATCTTACCTTCATACTTTTATATACAAAATAATGAGAGGAATCAATTGGTGTAAAGAAAACACATAGTTGTTTCTAAGAAAAAATATGGAATTGCAAATTACATATTTTTTCTAAATTAAGAAATGATTTCAAGCTTCATAACTCGAAAAGTACTTCATGAAAAAATTTTTATTTATAGTGTTTTGGAAAGCTCGCGAGATAAGTTACAAGAATATGCAAAAATAGGGTGTTCCATTTAAGAAATTCAAAATAATCTTCACGTTAACCTTCATGTGACTCTTCAAGATCAAATTAATGACACCATCTTATGTCTTCCTAGAAACCATACAACTTTTGTCTGAAACATCTTTTTCTAAAATTAAAAATAAGAAAGTTATTTGGGGTGGGACATTAAAATGGGACACCCTGTATACAAAAAATATAGAATGACAAAAAAAAAAGAAATAAAAAAGATAACATTGCGAGTTCGAGATTAAGCTAGTGGAAGATTATTAATTTTAAATTTATTACCAGTCCACTGGATGATATTATTTTCGTTTGTGAAATTTTAGAGCGACAGAGACAGTGAGATCGAGAAGAGTCACTCGGACGTGGACAATGTCACCGACGTGATTTCATCCACGATGACGATCAACACAACGCTGCCGACGACAGCGACAACAGTCGCGGCCGCATCAGGAATGGCAACGATCGCATCGACGACAACAACAGCGATGACAGCAGCAGAAGCCACCAATTCGGCGATGTCAACAATTACGTCAGTGACAACGTCCACCCCGAGGAAAGTATTCGGCAGTGGTTTTCACAATCATAATCAGGAGTACGATTCGGCTACTACCGCGACAATGAGCTCACCCGAACCGGAAGAATACACTTACGAGGGCGCCATTCGCAGTTACGTCTCGAGGGTGTCGCAAAATATACCGAGAAGGTCTTTAACCGGGATCGATTCCAAGCTGGAGGCAACCAAGTCTTCGATGAACGGTTCTAAGACGAGCCTGAACGACGATAAGTCGCCTCTGTCCGTGGTAAAGGTTGACATACTTAAAAGACGCGAGGTGTTCGAAAAGGCGTCGCAGAAGAGTAGTGATAACAAGACAAACAATAGGCTATCGGGTGACTTTACCGGCACGAAATCGATCAAGGAGAGGCTGTCGAGTCTCGAGAGGCAAAAGCACGAGGCCGAGAACGGCGACAAGGCTACCAACAAGACGCTCAATCGATTATCCGGCGATATGAGCTCGATCCGGGAGAGGCTCACCCATTTGGAGAAGCAAGCTTCGGAGCGAGAGAACAAGAGTTCCGTTCATCGCAAGCTCAGCACGGAAGATCTAGAGACGGTGAGGCCTCTTAGGGAAAGACTGTCTACTCTAGAAAAATACAGCAGCAGCGATGAGTCCTCGGTACCGACCACGACGAACGAGTCTCGCTCGCGCAATGGCGAGCTAACCGCCAGGATCAAGGATCGCTTCAGCACATTCAATGACGTTGGAAAGAACAAGGACGCGATGGATAAGCGGGGACCCGCACATGTCGGCAAACATCCGCTCTGCTTTCGAGATCAGGAAAACAGGGTTGACACGTCAACGCCCAGTGAAAGGAGCTCGTCACCCGATTCGGAATACCGGGTACCTCGTGCCGTCTTCCATAGAAGCCTGGATTCCCTAGACGCCGACGCTTCCAGCGGACCTGATACCTTCGAGCGCGTGCAGAGCCTTGAGGAGCTCGACTATGGACGACGATATCCCGCCTCATCGTCATCCGCGGAACTCCTGAACGATACAGATCGTGAAGATTCAGGTATCCATACCGCGGATGTGAGCTGCTCGGTCAGCCAGGCGGATGAGCCGATCGATGAAGAGGTCGTGCATCATACCGGTGGCGCAATCATCGAGTCGAGACGAGAAGTTATCGCCGAAGAAAGAGTCAAGCTACTTCCATCTATCACTTCCATCATTCAGGAGGAGGTGTCGGTACCGAACGATACCACGACGGCCTCTCCTTCGCAGTTTACCAGTCCTCGGGAGGCAGTAGCAGTGAACAAGGTGAGTGAAATATTAGTGTTTACGAAAATACAGGAAATAAAGCCGAAAGTAGGGTTGCACGAGATACCAAGTCTTAGTCTTGATATTGTCTTGTCTTGTCTTGAATTTCAAGACAAGATTTCGAGACAAGATTTCAAGACAAGATTTCGAGACAAGATTTCAAGACAAGATTTCGAGACAAGATTTTTAATTAATTATCAAGACAATACCAAGACTAAGACTGTCAAGATTATTAGTCTTGTCAAGATTATTCTCAAAGAAACTAAAATGTTTATATTTGTAAATGAAAGAAAATCACTATATACGAATTTCAAAAAATTTTATTCGATAAAAACATTTATATTGATAAATTTAAAAACATTTAATATTAATACAATATAACATTTTTATAAATTAGAAATCAAACTCGCAAATTTTAGACATTAAAGAGCATTTCACCCAGGAATTGATGCCCATTAGTGCTTTTAAAGATTTTTTTGTAATCTGGTTCTATTTTTTGACATAGTCAGAATTCTTATTGAAAAAAGTCTTTCTACTGACACGAACGAGGCAGTTGAACTTAAAATATCTCGAGTCATTTTTGACAATGTGGGATAAATATGAACCTGATTTTTTTATCACTCCAAAATATTTATATCTGCACATTCTCTTGGAGCCTGTAAATAGTTATTAATTTCTGTTTTCCATGAAACAGTAAATGTTTTTTTAAGTAAATAGACGGCATTTATATCGATTACATAATAATAATTATAATTAAAATATAATACAATAGTAATAATTATTTCAAATTATATTACAAAAATTATGTTAAATATTATTTAAATAATTTTTTAATATTAGATAAAAAATTGTTAATAAAATCGAGACAAGACAATACAAGACGAAATTTTTGCTAACAATATTCACTCAAGACCAAGACAAAATTTAAATTTTTGAAAATTTTCAATACTAATACAATATTTTTACGAATATTGTCTTGTCTTGAGTCTTGTGCAATCCTATCTGAAAGTTTTGTAGAAATGATCATGTATTATTTCGTAGCCATTTTCATCGTTAGATTTTTTAAATTAAAGTAAACGCAAAATATAACTTTTTTTTATATCGGCTCGAATAAAAGAGCATACATACAATCAGTGTTTACTGTAGATAATTTCAAAATTATCTAGCTAAAGATAAAGATAAAAATCCGTAAATTTATCTTAGATGAGATAAAAATGATTCGATTTTACTTAATCGGTGAAAGATGAGATGATTATTGCGATAATCTAGATAATTATCTAGATATTTTTATTTTATAAGACTATAAATGTTTATAAAAAATGTGATGCAGATTATAATAAGATATTAAAATCATAAACACATATTCTTTCTCTTTTCCTAAAGAATATTTAAATAATAACAAAAAGATATATAAATGATATGATAAATATTTATTTATTAATTTATATTTATAATATATTTATAATATATTAAGAATATAATAATCAATGTGTAACAATACATATATCATTTTTATAAAATATACATTAATGCATTGCACAAATTTAAGTAAAACAAGTACAAGTAAATTTAAGTAAATTTAAATAAATGAACACAGAATGGAAAAACTCGACGGCGTTCTTTTCTCATTTTAAGTTATTAAGTTTTAAGTTCCTCAAAAATTTTAGATACTTTAGATAGATTTTTAGAAGCTTGCCTGGAACTCTTTGACATAATGAAAACGTCATCTTAGACAATTTTTAGATAAGATGACATATATTTTTCATCTAAGATAAAGATAAAGATACTTTATATTTCTTCATCTAATTAAAGATAAAGATGATCCATTTCTTTATCTAGATAATTATCTAGATAATTTTATCTAGACATCAGCAAACACTGCATACAATTCTATTACTAACTGAGTCCTTTTATATCTTCTGTGTACTTTCACATCTTAAATTCAATCATTGCTTTTATCATATAGCCCTTTTATCTGTCTTTCTTTTTACGTCTCTTTTTTTCTGGTTACGGGTTTAACGACTATAAATCGGGTTGTAACTCTCTGATTCTGTAGGGTACTGCTGACAGCTCTGGAAAACTATCGACTAACAAATCACAGCCGCACGTAGAAACTATTACTAATTCTAATACACCTCGCTCGTATACCTCGGTGTCTCACGTGGCCACTCATCCGAGTCCCAAGGTACCTCCGCAAGAAATAACTTCCGAAAACTTCTCGAAATCGCGAACATTCGACAAAGACGCGGCCGAGCTCAAGACAGATCCCGAACCGAGTCTCAACGAGTCTATAGTATCGGCCAGTTTGAAACTCTCCATCGAGCAAGCGAGACCAAAATTCATTGGCCAACCGAAGCGACAGAACCTCGTCAAGGAACACTCCTCTACTAACACTCCTCCCTCTCCGCCAGCCTCGGATGTCATTGTTAGCGCGGAAACTTACCAATTATCTTTTCCCTCCGTGAGAACAACGTCGGCACCAACTGGTCCCTCCCTGGAAGCCAATCCTTCGCTTCCCAAATCTACGTCTTCCCGAACGATATCCAAGATTCCCACTCCCCTTTCTCGTAAAACTGCCAAGACCTCACCTCCCGACTCTGCCTTGACCTCGTCCGCTCTCAAAGCTTCGCCCTCGAAGGCGTCCAGCCTTCCTAACAAGCCCCCGACTTGTCAGACTTCCAGCCCAATTCGGAGAACGTCCGAAACGGCTCTTCCTACTTGTGCCACCATCGAGTCCTCTTCTCCCAGCCCAGCGGAACAATTTGTACCACCCTCCTCTCCTTCATCGAGACTCATCTCAGGAAACGCGCGAGACGAGGAGACCCTACTACCTGCGGAACGTCGTCGAACCGTGGTGGAAGTGTGCGAAAAGGTGGTGGTACCTCAGGGCAAGACTCCTACGACGCCGCCAGTGACGCCGTTCATCACGGTGAACCGCCTGACAAACGCGGACAAGGGTGGTTCTGTGACCGAGGTTAGAAACGATCAGCAGCAAACCAGCAACGCCTCGAAAAAGTCTTAAAGTGCGAGGATCCTTTCTTTTCGTTTCGCAAACCAGTACTGTCCTCCGCTTTCGATCAGCCTCTAGACAAGCCGTGCTAGATCTTGTACATAGATTATATTTTGGGGGAGAGGGAGGGGGATGCTATGCGGATTTGGGGTGCGAGAAACTTGGAGTTTTCAACATGCGACTTGTTGAGCGAATGAGGACAGTGTAACTCGCTAAATCGTGTCTACCGAAATGAATGAAAATCGTTTACATTTTTATAGAGGTCACCCGATCTCGCGAGTTCTGCCGCTAGTTCTTGGAATCTTTCGTGGATTATTGCTATTATTATTATCACTTGCTAAGGTATAGCATAACGCACAGGTCATTACCACGTCTGTCTTACTACGCAAAATTAAACTTAAACTATCAGTTAGTCGTGTAAATAGGCGCGAGGCAGGTGCCGAGAGTACGAGATAATCTATAGAATTAAATTGAGTTATATACAGGGTGGTTTAAAAGTCTGGAAACGGTCATTTATCTCCGAAAATAGTGGTCCTGTGGGAAAATGTTTCAGACGAAAGTTGTAAGATTTTAAGTGACGCATTACACAGTAATCTTACTATGACCTTGAACAATGTTGTTAAGGTCACGTGAAGGTCATTTTAAATTTCTTAAATGGAACTCCCTATTTTTAATTACATATTCTTGTAACTTACCTCGAGAGCTCTTCAAAACACTATAATGAAGTATTTTTTCATTGAGTACTTTCCAAGTTATGAGACTTGAAATCATTTCTTAATTTACATAAACCATAAAATATCTAGAAAAATATTCATTTTTCGATTATCTTACCTTAATACTTTTATGTACAAAATAATGAGGGGAATCAATTGGTGTAAAGAAAATACATAGTTGTTTCGAAGAAAAAAATATGTAATTTGCAATTAACAATTACATATTTTTTCTTAAAAATAACTATGTGTTTTTTTTACACCAATTGATTCCTCTCATTATTTTCTACATAAAAGTATTAAGGTAAGATAATCAAAAAATGAATATTTTACAAGATATTTTATGGTTTATGTAAAATTAAGAAATGACTTTAAGCCTCATAATTCGGAAAGTATTTAATGAAAACTAATTTAATTATAGTGTTTTGGAAAGCTCTCGGGATAAGCTATAAGAATATGTAATAAAAAATAAGGGGTTTTGTTTAAGAAATTGAAGGTGATCCTGACGTGACCTTAACAACACTCTTCAAGGTCATAGTAATATTACCGTGTAATGTGTCACTTAAAATCCTACAACTTTTGTCTAAAACATTTTCCCACAGGATCACTATTTTCGGAGATAATTGACCGTTTCCAGACTTTTAAACCACCCAGTATACAGAAGCGCTTGTACATTGTAACGGTTACTCTATATAATACATTATAACGGCATAACAATTTGCAATCAAGTTTATGTTTGCGGTATGTCTGCGACGTAACAGCAGGCGTTTGTAAGTGCTGTCAGATATTGCATATGCCGTTTAAAGAAAATATCGACGACCGATTTCGGCAACGTAGATCGATCGTAGTTTAACTGTAACTTTCTCAGATTACAGCGCGCAAACCATATAATTTGAGAAAGTTCAAATACAATTGAAAAAACGAGCACTCTCGAACAGAGAGTTGCGGTAGATGTCAAAATTATGTTTACACGAATTGTTTATGTATTGTCTACACAATGTTTACGCAAACTTTTTGTATGTAAACATGTAAACTATGTAAATTATTATAAATTAAATGAAAAATGAATACAAAAAATAGTAATTATATTATAAAATAGTGCTAATATTAATATTAATGTAATATACAATATTTATATAGAATATACAATAATGCATTATATCTATTTTTTTTATCAATATAAAATTTAGTTCGTTGAATCTTTGTTGATTGTTCTTGTCATTATTGTTATCAAAGATGTTTCGTTTATGTATATGGTTTAATTTCGTAGATTAATAATACAGGTCTGCGAAAATTTAGTTTTTGTTAGTTACAAAGAGCAAAGTAGGTGAATCTGATAGATTTTTTGATGTTCAAAACGAATCTCTCCGGCAGAATTTCTCCAGCACATCAGGTTTTTGAGTAATTTGCAGTTAAATAGTTTAAAAATAACTATTTTGAGCAATTTCATGAATTTATTATGAGAGAACCTAATTTTTTGAAATATTTCTGCCAATCGCATCATATAGTATTAGGTGTATAACTAAGTTCCCGCCATTTTTTTATTTAAAAAATGCATTTATTCAATAAGAAAATGAATTAATATATTAATCAAAATATAATCCATTGTTTTCTATGACTTTTTCCCGTCTTTTTTTACAAAAATTGGATTCCGCGACGATAGAACGATTTGTTTTTTTGAAGCAATCCATTGAAAAAATAACTTATCACATTTTTAAATCGATTCAAAAAATATCTCTTTCACAAAAAATGAATCTTATAATAATATATATTATAAATATAAATATTATTATGTCTTATAATATAATAAAACTGGTCATGCATAGGAATCCAATGAGCAAATCAATCCCGTGCTACTTCTCTGTCTCAGCACGAATCAAAATTTGGTAAACACATAAATTTTTGAACGTTGCCTATCATTTTTTAAAATTAAAAATGGCGGATCCAATTTAGCGGACAGAATCACAATAAAAAGATATAAAATTTTTAAAAATTCATCAAAATGTGTAACAACTGTATTGGATATATTTTTCGATAACTGATGTACCTCTTCAAATTTCAAGATGACGGATCTGACATATTAATGGCTCTGCCATATTAATGCCTACGTAAATTTCCTTAAATTTTACATAAATTTCTCCCATAATAAATTTATGAAATTAACCGAAATAGCCGATTATTTTTCGACTATTTAACTATAGATTACTCAAAAACCCGATGTGTTGGGGAAATCTTGCGGTCAGATTCGTTTTCAGCGTTAAAAGATTCATCAGATTCACCTCCTTTTTTGTAACTGACCTCGCAGGCCTGTGTAATTATTGACATAGATGATACGTTAAACATAGTTTACATTGTTTACACGTGGACTATTATAGTTTAGAGATAAATGCCTAACTCTGCTTTTAAATTAAGATTAAAGATTGATTGCTGAAATCGATCGTACGAGGAAATAAGCCATTGTGATAACATTCAATCGCTCCTCCAATCTTAATTACCGAATGCGATCAATCGTATTTAGTCGAGTACATGCGATTAGAATTATCAATCGCGCGAGAACCTGTACAGGCGATATCGCGGTGCAAACACCGCGAATGTAAGACTTGCTTTACTTGTAACGGTCTTGTAGCGATTTTAAAACAATTCGCCGAATATTTGATGCGCGATTATAATTAATTGTCATGGATTGTAGCGGTCGGTACCGCGAAAAAAAAACAAACAACGATGAAATACATGAGATACAAAGTACTTGCCAACGAATTTCGTCGTGTTGTATTCTCTTCTCACACATTCATGTGGATTTTAATCAGGGTTGGCATGTTTTAAACAATGTGTTTAAAACTGTTTGATTAAAACTTGCTTAAAACGGTGCCCACTGTTTTAAATATTTTTGTTTCAAACTGTTTTAAACTACTATTTAGAACCGTTAATTTAAAATATCGCAAATAAAATATATGATTATTTGGAAAAGAAATTGTAAAAAAAATCAAAAACAAACAAAAACTAACAGATGTGTATATTGCAAAAAAGTTTTTGTTTTAGTGTTTTTAGTTTTTTATCTATATTTATGTAACACATAGATATAAAAATATAAATAATAAAATAAAAATGATAAGATGGGTATTATTTTAGCAGAATATTTATTTTTAGATATTAAATAACAATCAGTATAATAAAGATTACTTAGAAGATGTTGACTGATGTTACATTTTAGCATTTTAAATTAATAGTACATAACTCATAGCAGGTCAGTAGTTCTAAAAAAAAAGTTCTTTTTTTAAAAAGAAAAATTGAGGTTTTTTATTTTTCTTTTATTTATAATTTATGTTGAGAGTTAAGCATGAGGTTATTTAATAAGAATAGGAAAGGAACCAAAGTATTATATATATTAAATATTATTAATTAGAACTTTTTTTCTCCAAAAATAAATAACTCCAAAAATAAATATTCTGCTAAAATAATACCCATCTTATCATTTTTATTTTATTATTTATATTTTTAATAGCGTTGTCAATTTTGGCAACGTTATTTACAGTTTAACGCTAGCGAAAAATTTAAATATTTACACAGATCAAAGCTAAGTGTTTTTTGCTTGTTTAAAACATGCTTTTTTTGTTTAAAACATGTTTTTTTTTACTTTACTTAAAAACACAAATAAAACAAAAAACTTGTTCTAAACAAGAAAACAATGTTTTTTGTTTAAAATATAAAAAAACAAGTTTTTTGCCAATCCTGATTTTAATTGACTCTAAAAGATTTTATTTCGCTTTTTGCCAATTTATATAATTTTTATTTTAAAAAGATTTACATTAATGTATTTTTTTTTCGATATATTAATCACTAGAGAAAATCTAATTTTTTGCCAAAGATGTCTGCTAATTTCAATTTTTATTTTCTAATATACAGAATTGCGAATTGAATTATTAGCGTGACATTTGTCCAGAGATTAGAATTTATCAATGCGAAAAACGCTTAGGATGGTTTATCTTCAAGTTAATAGGACACACAAATATACGCTTTTAATAACATTTGCGTTCAAAGTACGATGGATACATGATTCTCGTGACGCGTAAGTCAAGTCGGAGGTCAATCACAATGACATTTCATTATTAATAAAGAGTTCGTGCTGACGTGCCGATGATAAAAGCATCCATGTCACCGTCAACGACATTTCCATCAACGATTATTATTCGTTTGTCGGCGCGCGAGCCTCGCGATCGCTTTCTTTCCACATCTCTCGTCCTTCTCGATACATTGAAGAGGTAAGACGTCATATATTTTTGATTGCATCGCGCAAGCAGCGATTTGCCTGAGCTGTGTGTTAGCCCCGAAGATTACCGTCTCGGCGAACGGCTTTATTTTTTAGTAGATCCCAAAACGAATCGCACAAATTTCACGAGACACGCATGGCTGTACGGATAGCTTCTTCGAGTTCAGGGTCTATCTTCGGAGAAATACTGCATTTTATATTTTTTCCTATTTTATTAATAAATAAAAATATCATTATTAAAATTATATATAAAAAATAATTTTATTTGATAATCTAAAATAAAGATATACAAAATAACGCGTCAGGATCACTTGGGGTGTCTATCCTAATCTTAAAAAGATTCTCTAAAAATTTCCTAATCTTACAAATATTTTTTGTTCAAAATTATAGATGAAGAAAAGATTTTTAATATAATTTTATATAAAATAAGTTTTTTTATTATATGTGATTTATTTGAAGAAAAAACAGAAGAACCTCTTAAGTTTTATGCTGGACTTGTAAATGTATAAAAAAAAATTGAATACCTTTGTAAGATAAGCATTTTTCACTTGCATAAAAATTTAATTTTTTTTATGACTAAAAATTACAATGAAGAATATATATTGCATATTTAATATTTTTTTAAGAGAGACATTGAATATATAAACACAAAGACAGAGATATACAGGGTATCCCAGACCACCCGTACACCTTTTAAAATGAAAATAAATGGCTTTTATCAAAAATTGCGAACAATTTTTAAGTAAAAATCATCGGGTACGCTCTATCATATGATGATATTTTCAATTTTTGATTCCGACCGGAAATACGCCATCCGGATCGGAAGTTGAATTTTTTTAGGGGAACATGCTACTTTTTATTACAGATTTGAATTGTACGTGAAAAAATAAGAAGCTTTTGTATGAAATGTTTTTTCTGAAAGTGCCTCTGTCAATCTTAAAATTGATCTTGAAAGTAACTGTGATGAAATAATGAAGGTCAATTTTAAGGTAGACAGAGGCACTTTTAGAAAAAACGTTTGATACAAAAGTTTCTTACTTTTTCACGTACAATTCTGTAATAAAAAGTAGCATGTTCCCCTAAAAAAATTCAACTTCTGATCCGGATGGCGTATTTCCGGTCGGAATCAAAAGTTGAAAATATCACCATTTGATAGAGCGTACCTGATTTACTTAAAAATTGTTCGCGATTTTTTATAAAAGCCATTTATTTTTATTTTAAAAAGGGTGTACGGGTGTCTGGGTCACCCTGTATATTATATTAGAAATCGAACAAGCCTAACATGGCTTGCTAATTATTTTCCATAAGATAAAATTATTAAGGAAAGAATTTTTCTAAATTCTCAAAGTTTCATGAGAATTCTGAGTTTTTCAGATAAAAAATTCTAGGTTTATCCCCATTTCTTTTCACGGAGTAGACACCCTGGTGATACGTGCTTGTTTTACATATTTGTACACAGAAAAAAAATAAGTGTCAAATCAAAACTTATATACTTAAACTAACGCGTTCATTATTTATATACACAACAATTTATAATATTCTTAGAAGAATTTAATAATTTTAAATTTCAACAATATTATAGTCTTATTTTAATATTGTAATTGTCACCTCAAGAATATACAATTATTTAATTCTACTTTAAAAAAATTATAATCTTTGATTTAAAAATGTTATTTTTTATCTAACATCGTTTCTTTTCCATTCAAGAAAATTAAATCTTAAATCATAAGAATATATTTTTCTCGATTGAACTATATAAAATGGCTTCATTCAAGTAAGCAATTATTCAAGCAATTATATTTTTCTTTAATTAACGCAATATAATCTAATTTCAAGATTTTCATGTTAAAACTAAATATATTTTCAAAAACAAGAATGTTCTTTTTTTCTGTGTATATTCATCATATTCGTATCATTTATCGCTCTAAGCGCGCGCTTAATTTGTCGCCATAAACGTGAGATAGACCCTGGTCGAATTGCTTCTTTATCAACCTTATTTAGAATTAAATTACTATATTTGATTGACAAATTACGTATCGCGTCACATCCACACTTGATTGGACAATTCGAGCCTCGCGATAGCGTAGACTAAGTATCTCTCTTATCTCGATCGTCGAAAGACCTTATCGCGTCATGTGCTCGCAATACCTTTTAATCAGTCCGACAACACCTGAGATCACGGTGATCTAGTGGCTGTACGATTTTCGAGGCGTCTGCACGATAAATCGCTTGCAACTTGAGAAAGTAAACGTAGTTTCTTCTTCCTCCGCGTGTGTTCCTCGTCCCTGCATGCAATTTGCGAGTATGAGTCGCGAGTATGAGGTAAGGGGTACTAAACTGAAAACGGGGTGTGTTATAATGAAGTGCGATTTTTTTAAATTTGTAATATTTGAAGTCACGCGAATCACGTGATCTAGTTGCTTTGATTAATATATACCTGTAGTCCTTTCTTGAGGCGTTACTTATGTGTATTCGTCTTTAGAAAAAAATTTTCGAAGTAAGTTATTAGCTTAATGATATATTATTTCTACGTGAAATGCATTTTTTTCTTTTTTTTTAAAGAAAAAAAAGACCTTGAAAAATAGAGTGGAAATGAGACAAGAATTATAGAGCATTGAAAAGTTCTCTTTAGAATATACAATATATCAGTTTTAAATTGATTTATTAATTATATTTAATGCATTTCAATAGCTGATTAAATAATTCTATTATTTATTTTAGATACATTTGATTTTCTTATAACGAAATTAAATTTATTTCTTTAGTATTTACTTGCATTTTTGAAGCTTTAGTAGCAAAAATTCATTTCTTTCAGTCGCTTATAATTTTAGAATCTTGTTGATGTTTTATAAGTTTTATTGTAAAAAATATTACAGAATGCATGCAAGACAATTTTGAGAAGGCTTTTATCCAATAATATCTCACTAATCACCTATTATCATGTGTACATTAATTTGTAGTATTTATATTAACATATTTTGCAAAAAAAATTATCAATATCTGATGTTCACATATTTTGCAACGATGTATTGCATTTAAATTGCATTTAATAGTTAAGAAATTATATGCCTAAGACTTTTTTCGACAAAAATTCAAAGAATTTGTGACGTAGAAAAATTTCTACATGAAATGCATTTTTTCTTTTTTTTAAAGAAAAGGCCTTGAAAAATAGAGTGGAAATGAGACAAGAATTATAGAGCATTGAAAAGTTTTCTTTAGAATATATCAGTTTTAAATTGATTTATTAATTATATTTATTAATGCATTTTAACAACTGATTAAATAATTTCATTATTTATTTTAGATACATTTGATTTTTTTATAACGAAATTAAATTTATTTCTTTAGTATTTACTTGCATTTCTAAAGCTTTATTAGCAAAAATTCATTTCTTTCAGTCGCTTATAATTTTAGAATCTTGTTGATGCTTTATAAGTTTTATTGTAAAAAATCTTACAGAGTGCATGCAATACAATTTTGAGAAGGCTTTTATCCAATAATATCTCACTAATCACCTATTACCATGTGTACATTAATTTGTAGTATTTATACTAACATATTTTGCAAAAAAAATTATCACTATCTGATGTTCGCATATTTTGCAACGATGTATTGCATTTAAATTGCATTTAATAGTTAAGAAATTATGTAGCTAAAACTTTTTTCGACAAAATTCAAAGAATCTGTGACGTGGAAAAATTGCGTAATATGATGACTCCAACAAATGTAAGGATCGTAAACTATTATTGCTCGGATCATTATTGAAAATCAGTGCTTCTCGAGTCCGCATTTATCGATGTTTAATATCGCATCGTGCTCGTATGCATATCTCCTTTGTAAAGGCGTGTCAAATCGCGGAGAAAAGCACATATAATTGCAGGGATTTGCAAGATCCATCGGACGTGCAATATTACGCAACGCGCATCGACCTGGTAAAATGCACATATTCTCACGGCAAGAATTGCACATCTAGTGCACGCGAAACCTTTTCCCAACATTTTTCATGCAACTTCTGCTTCTGAGAAAAGACGCTTGCGACAATACATATGTCGTGACATTCAAGTAAATGCGTTATATTATGTCATTTAACGATTATTTAATTAAATCCGCGGATTATGGGTGTCTTCAAAAAAATTCTTCAAGAATCTTAAAGAATTTTTTTAAATATTTTTATTTAACATATTTATTTTAATATTTTTTAAAATATTTTTTTACACATATTTTGACGTTTCTTAAATATTTGGATTAATTAGGATAATTGTGTGAAACTAAGATGCAATATTTTTCAATGACATAATTTAATTGTCATTCAAATTCCATGTCATGATTTTAATTTGTATAACATATATTCCTGAAACATTAATGATGTGACGTTTAAATATTGTAGATGCATTATATTATGTAATTTATATAATGTCGATTTCTTCATTACTTAGATTATGGATGCATAATCTTCAAGAATTTTAAAGAATTTTTTTTATATATTTTTTTTAAAGTATTTTTAAAAAATTTTGACATTTCTTAGATAATTAGGATAATTGTGTGAAACTAAAATGCAATATTTTTCATTGACATAATTTACTCGTCACTTGAATATCACACTTCTCCGTATCATGATTTAATGTAATTTAATGTAAAAAATTTAATGTAAAAAATATATTCCTGAGAGACATTAGTTTTTTTTTTATTATCAGAATATATGTTGTGACAGATAAAATCTGTTTTTTGATCGAAATTTATTCGCCTACAATTTTTGTGGATTTTTCCAGAAACACTGTTTTAAACTGATCCGTCGATTTACATAGAATGTAGCGTTGCAAAATTGCGTGCGAGACCCGGTCCGCGTCTTATGTACAGCTCTTCTCAGAGTACATTGCGTTTCCTCTCCTCAGGAACGGATCGTTATCGAGAAAACCGACCAAGAGGAGGCAACTGCGAACCGCCTAGTTGCTTTAGCAGTCGAACACGAGCAGCACGAAACGACGGAGACGAATGTCGAGATGCCAGTCACCGCCAACACCACGAAAAAGCGCATCGTCGAAAGTGATGTGCACGATACATCATCTACTGCTACACCTGTCACGTCGACAGCTGATCGTCCGGCTAATCTGGGTTTGATGAAACAAGAAGTTGGTCTGATCCCGGCCTCGCCGATCTCCAAACAAGTTAGTAGATTGTTGAGCAAATTTCTTAATCATTGAATGTTTTTGATAAGGAAGAAAGAAATCGAGAAAGGAAAATTATATGTCGATTATATCGATTTTTGAATTCTTCTTAATTGATCTTCGATATCATTTGTAGATTCTGCCACTTACTCTATCTAATGATGAGGAAATAATTGCCGATCAATCTTTCCTTCTGAATCCACCGACGAGTGTCGAGCCACCAAAGGAAAAACCACCACCACCTCCGGTGGATGACAACCCTTCGCCGGAGCCGCTCAAAAGATTAAACTCTACTCGCAGAATAAAGAAAGAGTTGCGTACAAGACGCTCGGATTTCCTCGGTATTGAAGGGGTAAATGCGATAATAAAAAATTTGCTATTTTTATTATCTTGAAAATTTTTAATTTCTTCAATAAGGATTTTTAAAATCTTCCATTTTTTTCTAAAATATCATATATTTTTTCTCTTTTTTTTTATCTTTGTGTTTTTAAAGTTTGTTTTAAAATTTTTATAAATCTTATGTGTATAACATATATCTTTATATACATATAATAACATATATCTTTATAACATATATCTTTTGATATATGTTATAACATATATCTTATATAACATATATCTTAATAACATATATCTTTTGATAGAAGGTATATGTTATTTTAAGGTATGTAGGGTATCCCAGACCATCCTTATACCCCCTCTAAAATGAAAATAAATGGCTTTTATCAAAAATCGCGAACAATTTTTAAGTAAATCAGGTATGCTCTATTAAATGGTGATATTTTCAACTTTTGATTCCGACCGGAAATACACCATCCGGATCGGAAGTTGAATTTTTTTAGGGGACCATGCTACTTTTTATTACAGATTCGAATTGTACGTGAAAAAATAAGAAACTTTTGTATCAAACGTTTTTTCTAAAAGTGCCTCTGTCTACCTTAAAATTGACCTTCATTATTTCATCACAGTTACCTTCAAGATCAATTTTGGTGGCAAAAATTTGACCTTGGATAGTCATTTGAAGGTCACATAAAGGTCACTTTCAATTTCTTAAATAGAATCTACTATTTTTCATTGCATATTCTTGTAGCTTATCTTGAGAGCTTTCCAAAACACTATAATTAAGTACCTTTTCGTTAAGTACTTTTTGAGTTATAAGGCTTGAAATAATTTCTTAATTTTACATAAACCATAAAATATCTAATAAAATATTTATTTTTCAATTATCTTACCTTAATACTTTTATGTACAAAATAATGAGAGGAATCAATTAGTATAAGAAAACGTATTGCTTTTAAAAAAAAAATATGTAATTGTTAATTGCAAATTACATATTTTTTCTTAAAAACAACTATGTTTTTTTTTTACACCAATTGATTCCTCTTATTATTTTGTATATAAAAGTATTAAGGTAAGATAATCGAAAAATGAATAATTTACAAGATATTTTATGGTTTATGTAAAATTAAGAAATGACTTTAAGCCTCATAACTCGAAAAGTACTTAACGAAAATGTACTTAATTATAGTGTTTTGGAAAGCTCTCGAGACAAGCTATAAGAATGTGTAATGAAAAATAGTAGGTTCCATTTAAGAAATTGAAGGTGACCTTTATGTGACCTTCAAATGACTATCCAAGGTCAAATTTTAGTCACCATCTTCTGTCCCCCTTGAAGTCAAGCAACTTTTATTTGAAACATTTTATTGTACATTCAAAAATAAAAAAGTTATTGGGATAGGTAACTTAAAATGGCTCACCCTGTATATCGTATGTTTTGTTAATAGCAGGTCAACGACGATGATCTCGAATCTGAGTTGACGTTGACCAAACCACCTGACATGGCAGCAATCCTCGCTGAGGAGAGGCGCATCGAGCAACTTCATCGTCGCTCTTACGATACTGACAGTAACTACGAGCAAGATTCGAGTCACGAGAGAGACTCTGGAGTCGAGTTGGGCCACGTCGAGGACTGGGCGAAGCAACCCGTCAGCCCCGATATGTCGCAGCACAGCAGACAGAGCAGCGAGCCTTTCGGCGCCAGTGTGACCTCCTCCGAAGAGGACGAGATCACGAAAAAAGAGCGGGAAATCATGGAGGTTCTCGAGAAGGAGGAACAGTGGCGATATGGCGATAATCGCGAGTACAATAGGTACAAATAATTTTTTGATTTTTTATTCTTCGAGAGTCAGGAAAATGTTAATCAGAAGAACATTGAGCTTTCTCGAATTCGTTTTCTGACTTTCGTTCGTTAAAAAGAACCGCTTAATATAGGGTTGCACGAGATACCAAGATTAGTCTTGATATTGTCTTGTCTTGTCTTGAGTTTCAAGACAAGATCAAGACAAGATTTTTAATTAGTTATCAAGACAATACCAAGACTAAGAGTGTCAAGATTATTAGTCTTGTCAAGATTATTGGTTCTCAAAAAAATTAAAATATTTATATTTGTAAAAGAATCACTATACAGGGTGTCCCATTTTAATGCCCCACCCCAAATAACTTTCTTATTTTTAATTTTAGAAAGAGATGTTTCGGACAAAAGTTGTATGGTTTCAAGGAGGACATAAGATGGTGTCATTAATTTGATCTTGAAGAGTGACATGAAGATTACGTGAAGGTCATTTTGAATTTCTTAAATGGAACACCCTATATATTTTTGCATATTCTTGTAGCTTATCTCGAGAGCTTTCCAAAACACTATAAATAAACATTTTTTCAAGTACTTTATGAGGCTTGAAATCATTTCTTAATTTTACATAAACCGTAAAATATCTTGTAAAATATTCATTTTTCGATTATCTTATCATAATACTTTTATGTATAAAATAATGAGAGGAATCAATTGGTGTAAAGAAAACATACAGTTGTTTTTAAGAAAAAATATGTAATTTGCAATTAACAATTCCATATTTTTTCTTAAAAACAACTGTATGTTTTCTTTACACCAATTGATTCCTCTCATTATTTTATACATAAAAGTATTATGATAAGATAATCGAAAAATGAATATTTTACAAGATATTTTACGGTTTATGTAAAATTAAGAAATGATTTCAAGCCTCATAAAGTACTTGAAAAAATGTTTATTTATAGTGTTTTGGAAAGCTCTCGAGATAAGCTACAAGAATATGCAAAAATATATAGGGTGTTCCATTTAAGAAATTCAAAATGACCTTCACGTAATCTTCATGTCACTCTTCAAGATCAAATTAATGACACCATCTTATGTCCCCCTTGAAACCATACAACTTTTGTCCGAAACATCTCTTTCTAAAATTAAAAATAAGAAAGTTATTTGGGGTGGGGCATTAAAATGGGACACCCTGTATATACGAATTTAAAAAAATTTTATTCAATAAAAACATTTATATTGATAAATTTAAAAACATTTAATATTAATACAATATAACATTTTTATAAATTAGAAATCAAATTCGCAAATTTTAGACATTAAAGAGCATTTCACCCAGGAATTGATGCACATTAATGCTTTTAAAGATTTACTTTGTAATCTAGTTCTATTTTTTGACATAGTCAGAGTTTCTATTGAGAAAAGTCTTTCTACTGGCACGAATGAGGCAGTTGAACTTAAAATGTCTCGAGCCATTTTTGACAATGTGGAATAAATGAACCTAATTTTTTTACTACTCCAAAATATTTATATCTGCACATTCCCTTGGAGCCTGTAAATAGTTATTAATTTCTGTTTTCCATGAAACAGTAAATGTTTTTTTAAGTAAATAAACGGCATTTATATCGATTACAAAGTAATAATTATAATTAAAATATAATACAATAGTAATAATTATTTCAAATTATATTACAAAAATTATGTTAAATATTATTTAAATAATGTTTTAATATTAGATAAAAAATTATTAATAAAATCGAGACAAGACAATACAAGACGAGATTTTTGCTACCAATATTCACTCAAGACCAAGATAAGATTTAAATTTTTGAAAATTTTCAATACCAATACAATATTTTTACGAATATTGTCTTATTTTGGGTCTTGTGCAACCCTAGCTTAATACGAATTGAAAAGGAATATATCATCAAATCATCACATTCTTACAGTGACTTAGGGGAAAGGCTGGCTCACAAATTGCGCGAACTCGAGGAGGAGAAGATGCAGTTGGAGAGAGAGGCGATACTGCGTTGCAACGAGGACGCATTTCGCAAGAAGGACGACAACGCACGCAAGCAGGAAGATGCTTCCTCGTATGAGCAACAGCAACAGCAACATGATGAGACAGCGAAACAGCAGGAGACCCAAGCGCGAACGAAGGAGGAAGAAGAGGAGGAGAAGGAAGCGAAGTACGTCGGGGACAAGCGAAAGGACGGGGAGCTCAAGATGCAGTCGGAACAGCTGAGAATGCAGAACGAGATTGAAGAGAAAGAACGAAGGGTCGCTGATGCGTGTCGCAAGGAAGAATTGCGTATCCGAACGATGGAAAGTCAAATTCGCGAGCAAGAGGTAAGGCTAATCGCTTTGGGATTTTTTTCGAGCGACGAGTTGACGAAGAGATAAAAAGTACGATGTTAAAAAGTAGATAGTGAATTTCGAATGAGGTCCCTACTCCTCCGAGTATTGGTCAAAAGCATCGCATCATTTGTAGACACATGGAAATCGTTGCTTTAATGAGCGAAAATATATAGAAATATAATTAACTTATATTTTATTATTGTTATTTTATGCTTTATAATGAGAAAATTTAAAATTATGGCAAGTATTAAATTTTTAACTTTTCAAAATAGCCTCTCTGGCTTTTCTCAATTACAGAATCTTAATCCAATAGAGGAACTCCAATGGAATAATTTTATTTGTTTTTGGAACATGAGATTTATTAATCAAAAATAAAATACATTTGCAAACATACTGGAATTAAATATCAGTTAACTTAAAAAAAAAAAAAAAACCTATTGTCAACAAGATTGCCAAGAGTATGTGTGGCAGTATTGGAAGTAAAGGGAAACTATTTTGAAGACTTTCAGAAATTTAATATTTTAATATTTTTGTTATTATTTGTTATAATTTTTAATTTTTATGATATCAAAGCACAATATAAGAAAATATAATTTGATAATATTAATATGTATATCTTATTCATTAAAGTAACGACTTCTCTATTTCTATAAATGATACAATATTTTTGATCTGGTACTGTATGTTCTTTCTGTGACATTTTTCTGTCAATTTTTTCGTTTGCAAGAAACTTGATACTTTGCACCTATATTTCTTTTAGTATGTGGCACGCATTTTTAACCGATAGCTTGAAAAATGTTATTATCACATATCCTTCGAACAATGTTATCTTGATTCTAATCAACACTTTTACTTGTGAAATAAATCCAGCACAGAGTTTTTTATTCAACATTGCTCGAAAGATTCGATTGTTGAATAGTAGACAATGCAAATTAAGTATATAGCGTAGTGTAAATATTGATGGAGGGATTGTTGCTAATTATTCGCAGAACAAAGCATTGGTCGGTGCTGGGTTGCGCAACAACGAAGATGAATTCCCTTCCGGGGTAAGGCAATAATTGTAATTTTTTTAATCGCTCTTTCTTTCCCGTTCTTGTTCGCATTGAATTTTTATATAAATATCCGTATCAAAATTCTCTTTATCTCTTATCGCTATCTCTTCTAAGTATCTCTAGGGCATCTTGACTAATCTGAATCTAGCTTAATTCGATTTCTTTATTTACATTACATATTGTATTAAATGGATTAATCATATACAGAGTGTCCCAAAAGTCGGACCGGTCGAATATTTCATAAACTATGCACTTTAGAAAGAAATATTTCAGACAAAAGTTATATGGCTTGAAGGGGGCCATCAAATAGGCAATGATTTGACATGGGAGAGTCATTTGAAAGTCAGGTGAAGATCACCGTCAATTACCTTTACGTCATCTACGGGACCTTTACGTCACCTTCAAATGACTCTCCAAGGTCAAATCATTGCCACTATCTGTTGGCCCTCTTCAAGCCATACAACTTTTGTCTGAAACATTTCTTTCTAAAGTGCATAGTTTATGAAATATTCGACTATTCGAATATTCGGTCCGGGACTTTTGGGACACTCTGTATGTCAAGATAGATTTTATTTCTATTATATTTATTGAGTTACGTATGTATTCTATAAACTTCTACAGAATTGAAAGTAAGCGAGAATAAACAAAATATGTATTTATTTACGAATTTAAAAATATTTATATTTGCTTAAATTTTTAGTATTTTTAATAACAATTGCTTCAATTTAAAAAAAAAATAAAAAAGAATTAAAATTGTGACAAAGTTCAAAATTCTTGTATCTAATATTCTATTAAATAGATAAGTAAAGACGGAAGTATAATTTATAGAAAAATATTTGTTACCCTTTAGGAAGTGCTGCGAGTGGAAAGAGAACTTCTGCAATTAGAGCAAGAAGAATTAAAGAGGCAACGCAATAATCTGGCTTATCGTGAGCAAAAGCAACTTAGATTGGCGGAGCAATTACAGGAACAGTGGAAATCCTTGCAAGATGTTGCGCAGAATTCTATTAAGAATGCACAATACAAGTATAATACGCCTACAGTGAATTATAGATCTTCAATGCCGAATTTGCAGTTTCAAGACCTACCAAGAAGGAGACCACCACCACCGCCACCGATTCCGCTTACTAAACCACGTATATTAGATCAAAGACAGAGAGATGTTACCATCAGGTAAATATGAATAATGTATAGATATTTCATACTATTCTATGATTTATCACATCGCATGGTGACAAGTAAGTGATCCGAAGAAAGATAATTCTTATTTTATTAGATAAATTTTTAATTTAATTTAATTTTAATTTTAACTATTATTTAATAGTACAACTGATTACTTCGATTAAATAATTAAATTAAGTTCTTATATTATAATAAATAATAAATAATTTTTTTGGAGATACCGCACGTATCTTTTTTAAGAAATCAATCGCACGAGACTTTATTGTGTGAATTAGAATTAAGAAGTGTAAAATAAAAGCAATCTAGCTTTGCAAATAAGAATAATAGATTATAAAGGATAATAATTGTAAAATACATAGCAGTGGAATAACATTTCTTTTTATCTCATATTAAAATTGATGTATTATGCAAAAAAATTTGCAAAATAAATATGCATGTGTAATGTTAAGTAATGTTATGTAATACATTTTTTACAATTTTACAAATTATAATGTACTTTCAGATAGCTTTTCCATTTTATAAATTCAATATATTATTCAATATATATTATTCAATATATTATTAATAAATATATTATTCAATATATGTATATTTACTATTTTATTATTAATAAATAAAATATATTAATAAATATATTATTCAATATATATTTATGATTATGATATATGGATAAAATTATATATTAGAAGTCAAAAAATTATTTATAATAATTACATTAAAGTGTTAAACAAGACTTCAACAGTGTTATTGATTTAATAAAATTGTGTCTATAGATGTGTTGATTATGTTATGTAGAATAGAATATTATTATTATTTACGATTATTAATTTACGATTAATAGAGAAATTAATCTGTATATTAAGATACATTTATTAGAATATAGAAGCTCTAGATAATTATACACTTAATAACAATTATATTAGCTATAAAACTAATAATTGTATATTTAATAACAATTATTAGCTATAAAAGTACATATTAATTAAACATTTATCTAATATAATAAGAATTATTTCTCCTCAAATCGCTAATTTGTTGCAGTGCGCATTGTGGAATAATATAATTGAAATTACTGAATTTTTTTCATTTTATTCGCGAATGCAGGAATAGCCGTATACCATCCGCGGACTCGATTCCCCAACAAGTAGATGCTTCTATTCGAGAAAATGCATCGGCAACGACGCTTGCGAGTCATGCTGGTCAGCAAATGTCCAGGCAAACCTTACAGGCATTAAGTGCAGTACCACGACCACGAATTGTCCAAGGTGATCAATGGGTTCAACGGAGGAAAAGTGATGTGCCGAGAGGCGCTCACGATGTAAACTATCAACATTGGCTCATTCAAGTGCGTATGAAAAAAAATTATATTATAAAATTATATTAATTATATTAAATTAAAATAAAATAAAAATTATATTAATTATATTAAAATAAAAATTAATTATAAATTATAATAATTATATTAAATTATATTAAAATTATAATAATAATATTAATAAATTATATTAAATATATTAAAATTATATTAATTATATTAAAATAAAAATTATATTAATTATATTAAATTAATGATTAAAAATTATATTAATTTACTGGCAAGCAGATAAGCTTCAATTTTTTAATGTTATTCCAATAATTCTTAATTTTCAAACGCAAAGAAAATTAAGAAATAATTTATTTTTTTTTTTTTGAAGATCTAATTTTTTTTTCTTTTAATTTCAATTTTTTTCTAAATTTGATTAGCAAATTTTTTTCTACATTAAATTTCCGGGAAAATTAAATACATATTTAATAGCGTGTAGAGTATATAATGAGATACAAATAAATATAAGTGATTAGAGTTATTTGCTATTCTAACTGTGTGCATATTTTCTCTCAGGAGGCAGAACAAAGGAGGATTAATGAGAGAAATCAACGATCGCCGGCGCGGAAATCTCAACCGCATGTAACTGGCACCTCCGTACCGTATAATGCTCCAATTCGAACAGATAGCAAACCACTACCCGATTCTATCATACAAACTTTAACGCAAAGAGTGCAGAATAAAACACAAGAAAAACCTCTTTCAACAAGAAAAAGGTATATTTATTATAATTAAGTATTAATAATTATAAGGGTATATTTATTGTATTTAATATTTAACAATTTACAAAAGGATTCAGTTTAGTTATAAAAATTTACTTAATTTTATATAAAAATGCCATTCTTTATTATTTAAATATTTTTTTAATTATAACGACATTCCCTTATTTATGATTTACATTACTGATCAAAAGTATTTTAAGTATTAAGCAACACTTCCAAAAAATACAGAAAACACAAGTAAATGTAAAAATTTATTATCTTTTTTCTTCTAATTTTACTCATATTCATAAAATTATTAAAATAACAATAAAACATAATTTTAGTAATATTAATATGTTTCTTTGTTCATTAAAATAACGACGATTTGTGTTTCTATAAATGATACACATTGTACACTTTTATATTTTATATTTTTATATTTTTATATTTTTATATTTTATATTTTTATATTTTTATATTTTATATTTTTATATTTTTATATTGTATATTTACCTGTTAGAATTTTTAAAAAATATTTGTTCATGATTTCAGATCAGAGCAAGTTCACACTCAAGAACATTTGACGACTGTACAGCATCAATCGCCACAGTATACGTTACAGTCTCAAAAGACACAACATCCCTCAATCACGAGCAACAATGGAAATCAAGAAAAAATGCTGAGCGTGAGCGGGAAGAAAAAGTGTTCTCATTGTGGAGAAGAATTAGGTAATCAAATGAATTCTCTTAAACGTTCCTTCGTCATTATTAGACACTTATTAACTTAATATCCTTATGGATCCGTAGGTCGTGGTGCAGCAATGATAATCGAGAGTCTACGACTGTTTTATCATATGGAGTGCTTCAAATGTTGCGTATGCCATGTGCGTCTCGGCGATGGATTGATGGGCACAGACGTGCGTGTCCGAAATCACAAACTCCACTGCCATAATTGCTACTCCAGTGACGACGGTACATACATTTAACTCTATTTACACATTGTATTACTTGTAATCATCCAATTGAGCGCATATTGATTCCGAGAACGATACGAAAAATGCATACTTTTTTCTTGGTTTAAAAGTAATTCAAGTACGTTTCAAAGATATTCTTATATTTTTAATTATTCCAGATATATATTTATCAATATGAAGATAAATTGTGATAAAAAAAAAATGAAGATAAATTGTGATAAAAAAAAATGTAAAAGCTATTATAACACGATTGTGAAAGCGTCTCGGAAGGAATATCTTCACTTCACAATTTATATCGCTGTTAAATTTTCAGGTGTCAAGTTCAGTTGTGTATAGAAGCCTGGTGGTTAACGAAATTATGCTGATTAATTCAATGATATTATGATACTTTTCGATTAAACCGTATAATTTTTCAACCATTTAGTTAACCTATTTAAAAACATCACTGGATACAAACGACCTATATATAAATAAATGTGCATAAATGTAATTTTTTGATAATTGAGATAGGAGAATATATCATTATGTCTGCCGAGAGCGATACATATATATATATTATCTTTTGTGTTTTTATTTCAAGATAATGACTTTTCACACATGTATGCAACCGTTTCAACTAACATGAATCATACATGAAGAATGTATATAAGATGTATTTATGTAATTAGTGTAGAAGTAAGAAATCGTAGTTTATTAAGACGATTCACTGTAATTGGCGTTCATTTAGCAACGCTGTATATTTTTGTAATATATAATTCTTCTATTCTCTATTTATATCAGATAATTTACATCGTATATTCGAATAACAAAACGTACACGATTATTATCTCAATCAGAAGCGAATGATACGAAAATGAGTTTCTGAGGTAATAAAAATCTAAATGATTCTACGCATTTAACAGTCGATAAATGCAAACAGTGGCGTATGCGGATCCATTTATAATACATTACAATTCAAGCTTACTATTGCGAATATCGAAAATAATAATTCATTTTTACTAAATTTTTCATATAACGTAGTTTTTTACACAAATATTTTTTTCTTGCATAAATATCACTAATATATATAATATCATAATAAATATTTTTTATATATTTATAAAATAAATTTCTTTTAAAGTTTTCTGTAAAATCCGCTACTGTTTAGAAACCAAAGCACGATTCGTACAGATACTTCCGAAACGATTAATTTTCGATGCGAAATTGCGTATTTTTTAAATGAAAGTAACGCAACTCAAACTCAATCGTTTATCATAATCATGCCGAACATTGCATTGTGAAATATTGTAACATATGCATCTCGTATTAACGCAATTTTATATTATTGAAAAAAATAAATGAAGCACAGGTAAAATTATATTTCCCTCTGTCAGCGACATGTTTCTTACCTGTTTTATTTAAATGTTTTTTTATCATCAATTATATGCGACATCTAATGTATTAAAATGAGTGCATTCGACGTTTGAAGAGGTATTCATGATAACACTGATACAAAACAAATAAATTTTTTTTCTTCATAAAAGCATGAAAACTAATTAATTGTAACTAAAACTAACAAGGGGAGGGCGCGACTTTTGGAACGTCGAATTAAATCATATAATACTTTAATGCAATATAGTACTCTACCTAAAGAGTACTCTGATAAAATATTAGAGGCCAATGCTCAGCAGTTTTCGAAAAAAATCGATTGTAAAAGAACAAATCGTACAAGAAAAAATATGATATATTTTTTTATCTTTAGATTTTTCGAAAAATAATAGTTCATTCCTATAATAAAACAAAATATTTAATTTCGTAAGCTTTGCGAGAGAATTTAATATAATACAAAATCTTTGTTTATTGTATTAATATGTCTTTATTTATCGTATTGTATTATATTAATATATTGAAAATATTATAAATAGGATAAGTTTGTGAAATTGTTTTTTGTCAAAACCAGTATATAAATATTTTGACCTATTCTTCAGCGTTTGTTTTTCCTTTTCGTTTGCATTCTATTTCTGAGGTCTTTTTTGTTACTGTAATAATATCAATCAACAAAAATATTGATATAAAATTAAATATTTCTCTAAAAAAGCTATATCTTAAATATTAAATATGAGAGTTAAATATTAAATATGAGAGTTAAGAGTTTCAAATTTTTATATCCATTTTTCTTATATCAAAATTAATAAGAATTAACTGTTTTATAGATGATAATTTTCATATTTATCATGTTCATATAAGTGTGCATATGTATATACATATGTATATAAGTATATGTAATTATACCTTTTTCTCGGCTTATCTTATTATAAAATATATAAAATTACTAAGAATTATGGTTGCAGTGAGGAAGATTATTATCAAAAAATTAACATTTATTATTCAACTACATATTAATGATAAAATATAGTACTTTCTTAACATATATAAATATTAAATAATAATACAAAGATATAAAAATACAAAAATATGAATATTAAATAATATTTACAAAAATATATTATTTAAATAACTAACATTGCGCGCGTTACGATATTTATCTTTCTAAATATTAAGTAAAATCAAAACAAGATTTATTTAATTCTTTCTTTTTCTATTTTCTTCATCTTTTCTTTACTTTAAGTAAAGCGGATAAAGTTCCGGTCACCTCCGATTTGAGTCAAATTTTGTAAATAGGTTCCTTTTAGGTACAAAAGAAGTATACGAGAAGGATTTTTGGCGACTCGAAAATTAAGGCACTTTTTAAGCTCTTTTTCGTAAGAGTATACCTTTGGACAACTTGTTCGAAACGATAAATATCTAGAAAAACGGTAACTCCAGATAGAACATGAAACTCATAATGATATTATTATGACGTCACCTAAAAGTCATTTTAGAAAAATCATAATGATCTCATTTGATATACTTTTGGCAATGTTTTGGTGACTTATTTTTGATATTAAATAATTCTAGCGAATTCTGTTGGAGAATATATATACTTCGCGTATGAAATTTTAAGAATCAATCATAATAATATCATTTTTTATATATGTTACGCAATTACTTCTTTATTTAATTATATTTGTATATTTATTATGTATATTATGTATATTTTAATTATATTTAAGCAGAATAATCTTCTTAAAATTATATAATATGCGATTAGTGAATTTAAAAATTTATATTCTTTTTGTCATCTTTAACTAATTTTTTAATCATTTTTTGTTTAGATAACTTTTGAGTGATAAATAAAATCATGATGATGTCATAATGATGCCATTGTGAGTTTCATCTTCTACCTGGGACCTCACCAATGATCTTGACCTTGACATATGTACATATGTATGAATTCCTAAGTAACATATATGTGAAAGTGACATATACATACATATGTACGAATTCCTAAGTAATGTTGATTTGACTTCTTAGAAGCAAATTAATTCAGTTTTGTCAAAATTCTTTTTACAGGCTTCTACTTTAAGTTGAAAGGAAGCTTTTCACAAAGTTTCATCAAAATTGGAGGTAACCGGTTTTCGGAACTACACCCAGTAGAACATTTAAAAGAATACTAATTATAATAATATTCAAAGATATAAAAAATTTAATGTAATATACCTATATTCTAATATATATTTGATATTATAATTAAATTTATAATATTAATAATTTTATAATATTAAATAACATTAATAATATTAATTAAATTAATTAAATTATTACTAATAAAATTAACATAAGTAATATTATAATGAAATTAAATATATCATAAATTTAACATAATTTAAGACATTTCTCGGATCATCTACCAGCAACTCGACCGCATTTTTTTATAAAATAATGGAAAACGTATCGTTTCAAATTAAAAATAATACAGCTTATTTGGAACCTATTATTTTATTCGAATGACATTTGTTATTTAATCTTATAGAAATTATTTTTTTATGAACAAAAAATCAATGTTTTATATTTTTCTAATGTATAGTAACGCTTGAAACAATCATCGACATGCAATATAGATTCATTAGAACAGGTAATATAATAATAATTTGTCATCTTTTACTTGAAGTTTTTTTATCTGAACAATACAGTTTTGTTTTCTTCCTTTCGCATGAATAATATGTAATTTACATTCAGTTTTTTGAAGATGATATGAAAATCACTCATAATTCACTCATAATTCTTGAACACTCAATTCTTGAAAATTATTTTTATTTATTTATTTATTTTATTTATTTATTTATTTCTCAACTGATTGAAAGCTTTACAAACTTTAAATAAATTTTTCATTTTTTCTTCTTTTGATGCTCGGTAAAATATAGATAAATTAACACACATTTTCAATCCCCAGAAAAATAATTTCCTCTATCTTCCTCTATTCTAGAAATTTGACATTGTAAGTTGTAAATAAGATAAGAAAAATAAGATAAAAAGATTTATAATTGTAAATTATGAAATCACGAAACAACATTCATCAAAAAAATTACTTTTCCATCGAGTTATGCAGATAGATTGTATCTGATGTGTTCAATTCTCCAACGATCTGTCTCTATCTTCGAAAGTATATTCTTCTTTTTACAGCTATCTTGTCAGCGAAGTATCATATGTTATATGATACAAACGATATGCTCAATTTAGAAAAAGAACTGCTATATCGCTCTTTATCCCTATCTTCTATTACAAAGAAATACCGTGAAGTAAAATACACTGGTTTACGTACTGTCGACTGAAATTTTCTTACGTATATCTAGACATATATTTTCCATTTCTTTATTTATTTTTTCGTATAAAGCGAATGCATACTTTAACGAAACATATATTTATGAAAATTTTGTGTTTGCGTAATTTTGTCTTATATAATCACAGTAGTAATCTCTTTGTGTTCCCTTAAAGGGGGAACCTGGTTTAGAACCTGAAAATAAAGTGAACTTTGAGAATTTTTTAAGAACTAACAATAAAATCGATCTTTTCAAAACTTTAAGAACAATTTATTATATGTTTGAACAATACAAAAAATATTTTTTATTAAAAAAATAATGATATTTATATTGAGTTTTTTAATGATTATGTGCCTCGTGACCGAAGTTGCGAATTTGCGGGAAAAATGCAGCCTCCATTTCTTGTCTGAAACAAAAAATCGATCTGGTTTATTAATTGTCAAAAAAGGAAGGGACTGAAGAAAGAATAACTAACGATGTATTGAAGTCAACATTTAATGCAATAAAAGAAGAGTTTGTTGAAGTAATAGATAATTTTTTGAGGGAAGGTTGCTGTCCAGAGAGTTGGAAAACATCAACAATAATACCGATTCCAAAAATAGAAAATACTAAAAAAGCAAGTGAATATAGACCTATTAATATGTTATCAATATATGAGGAAATGTTAGAATTAGTGGTAAAGAAGTAAATTGAAATGTATCTGGAATCTTATTAGATTATTATAACAGAATATATCAATCAGGTTTTAGAAAACAGTATTCGCATAAAATAAATTCAAACTGTTGTTGGGAATTCAAACTGTTGTTGACGAATGGAAATTAATAGTTAGTAAAGGAAAAATGGTTGGAGTAATATTTATGGATCTTAAACAAGTTTTCGAAACAATAGATAGAGAAAGATTAATAGAAAAATTATATTAATATGGAATTAAAGGGATGCTTTTAGAATGATTAAAATCATACTTAAATAATAGAACGCAGCAAGTTCGTTTCATCGATAAATGGTCTAAATTAATTGCTACTAAATATGGAGTGCCACAAGGATTTGTACTGCGATTTGTACCTTGTTATTTATTGTATATATTAATGATATAAAATTTGCCCTGATGGATGTAATATAAAAATGTTTATGAATGGTACATTAATATATGTAGCTGGTGAAAAAAGCGAGCAGTTAGAGTTAAAAATGAATATGGCATTTAATATAGTAGAAAAACGAATAAATATAAATAAATTGAAAATGAATGCAGGAAAAATGAAATATATGATAGTTAGGAGTAAGAAAAGAATTGAAAGGAAGTATTGTATTGAAATGCTTGAATGGAACCGAGATAGAGCGAGTAAAGATAATGAAATACCTGGGAATAATTATTGAGGATAAACTTCGATTTGAAGATCATTGTGACTATATGTTAAAAAAGATAGGAAAAAAGACAAGTTTTTTAAATAAAATAGGAAATTGTATATCGGTATATAGATGTATTGTATATAAGGTAATCATAGCACCTCACTTCGAATATTGTGCAATGTTGTTAATGGATATGGGAGAAACATAGCTGGATAAAATGCAAGTAGCGCAAAATCGGGCAATGAGAGTTATATTACAATGTGATCGTATGTTAAAGATTAAAGGCCGGTGCTTATTAACGCAACTTTATTAAATAATTACCGCTTTATTAAGCATTATAGAAAAAAATGATTCTTTTCTACTCGATTTTTAATCAGGAATAACGCTATTTGCTCCGTGGGCACTTTTTCAGTTACACCCTGTATATATAAAGTCATGATTATTACTAAAAGATAATATAATATAATAATTATTTCAAAAATATAGTAATTATTTCTATTATTTTAATCTTCTGATATCAGATATCAGAAGCCGATGCGATTCAGAATATTAAACTGATTGGAATAAATAGAAAATTATTCAATAGAATAAATAGAAAATTATTCATTTATACTATTTGAAACAAAAAGCAAGAATTTAATTCTAAATAAATTACACCTCAAGTTTTATAAATTAAATTTAATTATCATTTACTTTTATCATTTACTTTATTATTATTCTAATTGAATTAGTCATTTTCTATGTGAGATATAACTATGATCGACATAACATATATTACATTATATGTCATATTAGAAGAAAAATATAATTAAAAAACCGATAACTCGATAATAGTTTTAGCATCTATAATAATCAATTTTATTGTATTTCTACAACATTAATATAAGTAAGTGCAAATCTTGTTCGGTTTCTGCTCAATTTGCTATAAAACTGCATGCGTAGATTCTGCTCGGTTTCTGCCGACAATCTGTCAGTCTTGAAGGAATTGCAAAATTAATTGACTCGAAATATTTTATCATGTGTTTCATTCTGTGATATCGTCAAGTATGTTGTCGCTAGTACTGTGTATTATCTTATTCTATGATATACTCTTTTTTGCAACTTTCTTAAGAATATAATAAGAATTAAATTACAAAAATAGGATTGTTTAAGCATAAAACTATTTCCTTCTAATCTTTACGACTTCTTATGTATATATTGAAGCATTTAGTACACTAAGAAAACATTTAAATATTAGAATAATATTAATTGAATATTAGTTAAATATTAGTAGGAAATTAATGAATCAATGATAAAAGTTAGATTAACGCAATAATGCAGAAGACCTTTAATCTTCAACATGATTGGCAATTTTATTTGACTTCTTTCCTTGTTTTTATTTCATCTGATTCATTTCTTCTACCTTTTATCATCTTACATAACTTGTTTCATTAATAAACCAGTTTGATCTTACTTTTAGTAATTATTGTGTATATTACACATTAATAATCGTTTGCGTATTAGAGATAAACATTTCCATATCTTGTGTAAACGTATGTTTTGTGTGTATATACAGGGTGTGTCATTTTAGGTAATGCAACTGAATATCTCGAAACCATGGTGGTTTCGGTGAAAATGTTTTAAATAAAAGTTGTATGGTTTTAAGAGGACCATAAGATGGTGTCATTGGTTTTACCTTGAAAAGTCGTTTGAAGGTCACCTTCACTTTCTTAAATGGAACCCCCTATTTTTTATTACTTATTCTTGTAGCTTATCTGGAAAGCTCCAAAACGCTCTAATAAAGTATTTCTTCATTGAGTACTTTTCGAGGCTTGAAATAATTTCTTAATTTTACATAAACCATAAAATATCTAGTAAAATATTCATTTTTCGATTATCTTATCTTAATTCTTTTATGTACAAAATAATGAGAGGAATCAATTGGTGTAAAGAAGAAATGTAGTTGTTTAAAAAAATGTAATTTGCAATTAACAATTACATATTTTTTCTTAAAAATAACTATGTATTTTCTTTACACCAATTGATTCCTCTCATTATTTTGTACATAAAAGTATTAAAGTAAAATATATATTCATTAATTAGTACGATCCCATAAAAAATCTTTTAAAATTTTTTATATAACATGACTTTCGCGATCAGACTTTAACAATCGTTAAAGTAAAATTCGCTGTAAAACCAATAATCACTAGTTCGTTCGTTTACCGCTATGATCGCTATCTCTCTTTTTTCTTATCTTTACTGATATCGTATTATTATAGCACAAATCATTATTCATTATAGTTTATTAAATACCAAATATTTAGTTCTCGACATTGCAGATTATTATTGTAAGTTATCGAATAATGACTCCAATTTGTTAATTTAATGAGGATACAGCGGAGATAAAATTAAGATATAGTGGGGATATAGTGGGGATATAGTGGGGATCACTTAGTAAAGGTCAAAAGAGAAAAATAACGAGCATATATATACTCATTTTCTAATACACACTTTTAGTAATATCATTTCAATCAAGACATAAACATTGTCTTGATTTAACTTAACGTAGTTTTCACAGTATAAGTGTATAAAATAACGTAGTTTTCACAGTATACGTGTATAAAAATTTTGTTAGTTTATATCACGAAAAAGTTTTTTGTAAAATATGACGATCAATAATGTTACGTTTAAGGATAGTAATAAAAATTCCAATTGCATTTCGCAACATTCGAGTGAATATGAATACGTAGCAGCGTTGAAAACCATATTTGATAAAAAATTATTTCCGAATGATTTTGATATCTGGCCTGTACAAGAACAATCTATTTGGATAACCAAAAATATCGCCAAATTCTTTCCAAACACGCCAGAATCGTTATTAAACCTCATGCCAGCTTGGTTTCGAGGAATGATCGATCGATCAGACGGAAAGAAGCCTGAATGGTTGAATATGGATAAATATCGTCGAGGACAAAAATTTGTGCGCGACCATTGGTTTTCTGTTGTAATCTCCACAATACTAGGCCTTATGCATATTTATTCTTTCAACGATGCTTTAAAACCGATTATCATATCTAGAAAAACTCATACGCCATATTTGGGATTCAAAAGGTATATTTCTTTAATTATTATTAATTTTAATGAAACTTTGATGAAAAGATAGTTTTGAATAGTATACACTGAAAAGGATTAGGTATATAATAATTCAAACTTGATAAAAATTATCTAGCTCTCTCTGTGATAAAATAGTTTCAACCAAATATATTTTTCAAAAGGAAATTATAATGAAATAATTCGGTCAACATTAATAAGTAATTCTAACAAAATTGCATTTGAGGCCTTGGAGGCTTGCCAAGACCGACAATTGCGCCGCATTTGTTCAGAGCTACTTAAATCAAGAGACACGGTAGTATCTTTAAGTCGAGTCATCAATCAGGCGCAAGACACCGTGTATCTTTACACGAATGGCTAAGTTGCGATAATGCATATTATCGGTTCTCAATAACCGTTGAATCGATCAAATTCTTAATAGGTTCAATCAATTGCTTGGATTCGATTTATATCAGGATATTTTAAATTTTAGCCATATATATGTATACAGGGAGTCCCAAAAGTCCCGAAAAAATTATATAATTTGCAATTAACAATTACATATTTTTTTTAAAAACAACTGTATTTTCTTTACACCAATTGATTCCTCTCATTATTTTGCACATAACAGTATTAAGGTAAGATAATCGAAAAATGAATATTTCACAAGATATTTTATGGTTTATGCAAAATTAAGAAATGATTTCAAGCCTCATAACTCGAAAAGTACTCAATGAAGAAATACTTTATTATAGTGTTTTGGAAAGCTCTCGAGATAAGCTACACGAATATGTAATCAAAAATAGGGAGTTCCATTTAAGAAATTGACGGTGAGTTCAAGTGACTTTCAAATGACTCTCCCATATCAAATCATTGCTACTATCTGATGGCCCCCTTCAAGCCATACAACTTTTGTCTGAAACATTTCTTTCTAAAGTGCATAGTTTATGAAATATTCGACTGGTCCGGGACTTTTGGGACACTCTGTATATATGTATATGGCTAAAGTTTAAAATACCCACGTATTTATTCAAAATGAATACAAACTTTCTTATCTATTCTCTGCCGTATTATCGCATCATGACAATAAGGACACAATATAAACAGATATTGTAATATCTTGCGTCAGAACGTAAATATGCAAATATATAACGACAAGAGAAAAAAAATAATAAACTATACATATTTTTTAGTATATCAATTAGATCTTTAAGTTTCGAAAAAACATTTTCCAACTCATTTATTATGAAAAATTATATCAAATTATTCACTGACGAACGAATAAATTACTTCGCAAATGCCGATAAAGAAATCAAGTTTTATGACGCAATCTCGCGAGCTTAGATTGAGATCAAGCAGATGTAAGTAACTTCGGACAAATGCGGCGCAATAGGAAGTTATGCATAAGATAAAAGAACAAGAGGAATAAATTGATAAAATTTATAAAGAATAATCTGACGCGAAAAGCAGTACCGTCTATGTCGGTCTAGTAGCAAACAGTTAATATAAATATATATATATATATATATATATATATATATATATATGTATGTATATTAACATAGAATATATCTTTATTTATAATATTATACATAAGGTACAAAATAATATAATAAAAAGTAATATATATGTATTATATAAAATAATATAATAAATTATTATATTTTTTTTACGTAACAATATTTGCTAGCAAGGATGCATGGAAATGTCCCCTCTCCCTTAATTTTAATAAGTTTTTAATATGTTGTCTTCGAGACAAAAATAAAGAACACATATTTTTTTATACATATATGTCTAAGAAATAAAACGCTCCTTTGAACGTTTTTTATTTTGAGACAAATATCTTCGAAATTATAAGAGATAGAAAAAAAATTTTAAATTAAAAGTTAAATGACTTCAAGTATATTTTGCAACAGTGATAAAAGGAATTTTTATTTTTTTAATTTTTCAAAACATCCTCATCACTAAATATTACTTTTTTCAATTCTGAAATTTCTTTATCACCAAATGAAATGTTATATTTTCACGAATACAATCATATATAATTAAGTTATATTTCGAAAAATTATTTTCAAGAATTAGTTAAAGAATAAACCTCTCTGTTTAAATATGTTATTCGCGCCTGTCCATCCGCACGATTTTTCACGTAATATGTTCTGTTTTTTTGATATAGAAGATAAATGACACAAATACATTTGACTATGTCATCAATCACGTTTCTTTCGTGCATAGCTAGAATAATATTGATGTAACAGTTTATATAATAGGATAGACAGTTTATATAAGATATCAATACTACGTTAAATATAAATAAGTTCATTATGTATGAACGAAATGAAGCGTGGCTAAACTTGTTTACTTTAAGACGGCATAAGATGAAATAATAAAAATAAAAATAACAACAACAACAACAATAATAACAACAACAATTATAACAATAACAATAACAATAATCTCTTATAGTTTTGAAGATATTCGTCTCGAAAGAAAAAAACCGATTATTTTCAAAGGAAAATGTTTTACCCTCTAGACATGCAGATAACATATTAAAAACTCATCAAACCTGGAGGGGGGCACTTCCGTGCATCTTATTGTAAATAATTTAGTAATATCAGCAAATCCATCAAATAATGCTTTTAAAATAATTTAATATTAATTATCAAATTTTTTAATTATTACGAAACTAATAATAAGTATTACATAATTTAGTTGAGTCAATTAAACGTGGTATTTGCTTTTTTAAAATATTTACAATTATTACGTTTTATTTATTTATTATTATTTATGTTTACAATTATTACGTGTTATTTATTTATTATTATTTGATTATAATTGATGATAAAAACTAAATATTTAAAAAAATGCATTATTTATTAAATGCACTTCACAAGTTTACTCAGAATTTCTTTTCAGTGAAAAAATAAAATTTCTAAAACGAAGTCAACATTAGCTTAAATGAATCAAGATTAGATCATTGATTAAAAAAAGCAAATAATTATATAAAACCTTAATAATGTTTATTAATGTTCATTCTATATAAGAAATACTTCGATTATTATGTTCTTTTAAATCATTCTTTTAATTTGCAAGATATTTGGAAACTATACGGCATTTTTTTACTTGGTACTGTGGAGAACCTTGGCTTAAAGGAACACTGGCTTATAACAACATGCAATATGCATGTAAAATGCATTCGATGATGAGGGCAAAATTGGACAAGCTCGATAATGAGCAAATCGACAATGCATCCAAAATTCCAGAATTGTGGTGTCCAGATCACGAAATACTTGTAAAAGATTTTGCCGCGGCGTGTATATTTGAGAAATCCGAACAACGTCCTTATATTCTATTAGAAAAATCGCCATATAGACCCAAAGGTATAAACAACTCGGACATGGCAGGCATGCAGTGCAGCTTCGTAGCGTTATTTTTACTCTGTCCGCAAAGTATCGGAGTACACAATGCGACTGATGAAGATATAGAAGCTTTCTGTTACTTGTGGAGATGCTATGGATATTGTCTCGGAATGGAAGACGAGTATGTAATATTTGTAAAATGTATTGCAAAATATTTTTCTTTATTTTAGATATCCTATAATTCGTGACTTTGTACAATTCGTCAGATACAATTTTTGTCGTGGAAGTCTCGAGGAAATAAAACAGCGTACGCGAGATTTGTATCAATACTGGCTATTGCCTAATTTTAAAGATATTACACCTGAATGGGAGCATATGACGAGATGTCTCGTCGAATCTGTGAATAACATTCCTTTGATATATATGCCTTATAAAGTAATGACATTAATCTCTACAGACATACTAAATCTAAATATGTCGAATTTATACAAATCACTCAGTTATTCAGAGTGGATTGCTCACAAAGTCTGGACGTGAGTGATATTTATAGCAATACTTAATCTGTCACAGTATATTAGTTCTCTAAATATTAAATATAAATTTCATCTCACAAACAATTATATATTGTAAAATATATATTTCTACCATTTCAATCATTTCAGATTCATATTTCGATATGGTTTGCAATTCTCCATTGTAAAATCAATTTTTAATAAAGTGGCATACAAATTACTTGACATAGCGATGAATTTTGGTCCAGAAAAGCAAATAGAACTCCAAGAAAAATCGAAAAAACAATTATCGAATTTTTCTGGTATATATTAATAGTTCAGTATTAAAGGCGCACATAATTTTATGGAATAAATTTATAATATTACTAATAAAATTAACTATTAATAATATTACTAATAAAATTAACTATTAATTAATTTATAATATTACTAATAAAATTAATTAATTACTAATATTACTAAAAAAATTAATATATATATATATTTTTTTTATTTTCGAAAATAATGTAACTGTAAATTGCAAAAAATTACATATTAAAAAAAAACAACTATGTGTTTTTTTACACCAATTGATTCCTTCATTATTTTATACAAAATACTGACAATGAGATATAAAAGTATTGAGATAAAATCATTGAAAAGTAAATATTTCACGACACACATATAAAATTAAGAAATTACTTCAAGTCTTACAATTTTTTTTCTTTTAATGAAAAAATACTTTACTATAGTATTTTAAAAAGCTTTCGAGATAAGTTATAAGAGTATGCAATGATAAAAAAATGGGAGTTTCCACTTAATACATTGAAGATGACCTTAAAATATTTGTTCCCTAAAACGTCATTTTTAAAAGTAATAAAATAAAATTTTATAATAACATCGTATGTAAAAAAAAAGAAAAAATACATTTCATGATAAATAATAAAAATATATATATGCAAAATATGGACTTCTACGAAATGTGTTTATTCATTTCTGCTGTGCAAATAATATCGCCAATGTATAATATGCAGGAATAATATAAAAAATGACAAGATCAATAAAAAAGATTGTGTAGGTTAGGTTAGATTAGATAATAGGAGGTCAAAAGCTAAATTGAAATGAAGCTAAATGAAGTAAGCACATATTGAAGGACATTGAATAAAGTAGCCAATCATACGTTGAAGATTTTTTACATTTTTGTGCGTCAATAATAATTCCGTTTAATAAAATGACTTTGCTAACAATGACACTGATCATTTGTTCATTGATATCTCTTATTCAATAAATATTTAAATTTTTTTAGAGCATTTTTATATATAAAGATCATTTAAAAAAATAGCTTTACATTAAAGCAATCCTACTTTTATAATTTAATTTTTATTGAAGAAACTTGTGAAGAGGGACACTCTAAGATAATATACAATAGGTACTAGCAACACAGGTTACTTAACAAAGTATACTTAATGATGTAGCAGAATAAAACACATGATAAAATATCTCACCGAGTTAACTAATTTTTTGCATGCCTTATTAAGAGATATTACTAATCGTTATCGATACATTTTTAAATTTAAACATGTCATATTTAACCTCATCACTTATTATATACAGAATAAATAACTTATATTAGTTATAAGTGAATAATATTTATTAAAACACAGATTAATTATCCAATGTAATGTTAAAATTCATTGGTTAAAATTCATTGTATTCGTTCGCTTCAATATACACGTGAATTTCAAAAGATAAATACTCTTACAATTAATCTTTTTATTGGTTTGATAATTTATAAGACATCATGTATAAATATTTTCCAGTATAAAAATAGTTGATATTAGATAATAATTAGATTAGATTATATTAGATAATAAGTTATTTTGAAGCATAGCAATTCACGAAAAAAATGTAAACATTTTATAAAAATTAAAACTTTTATTTTTTATTTTATGTTTAAAAGTAATTTTAATAAATTAATGAATTAATGAAAATTTGGGATTATAAAATGATATCAAACACGACATAATTTTTTATTAGATTGATAAGAATTTTTTTACTTGATAAAATATTATTCGATTATTGTGTTTAATGTCATTTTAAACGCAAAATTTCCATTAATTCATTAAAATTATTTTCAATCAAATAAAATGTAAAGTATAAAAATTTTACTTTCTATAATAAGATAATATATATGTATTTATGAAATATTATATATTCGTCACTTTGATCAAAAATTTAACGAATATCATTATACAAGTTTCCTATTTGTCTAATATGGTATCATGTGACTTTTTCCTATTCTCTTGGATGAAATTACCGTTTTTTGCACATCGTTTTGAGTCGATAAAAAAGAATATATACACACTACGCAGATTATATCTGAGGCTGCGGTCAGATTGATCGGGAGGGAATTAATTACTGAAAGGGACGAAAATTTAAATGAATAAATTCATAAACATTTACTTTTTATTGGACCAGTTCCGATATTTTTTGATCACAATAGTATACATTCGTTTATAATGAATATTCAAACCATGTAGTCATTCTTTAATATTTTAATTATTTTATATTTGTTTATTGTTTTAAAATATTATTTAATGGAGTAAAAATTTGTGTTCTTTTCTTTCTAATTCTGGTTAAGTAATTTAATTACATATATGTCCATATTTTTTTCTATTTTTCCATTTTTTAAAGATTTTATGACATAAGCAGCTGAATATAAATAAATATTTCTCTAATCTCTTAGAATAGAGATATATCTTATTTGTCTTTTTGTCGTTGAAATTTTATAACAACTTTAGGTAAAACTATACAGCATACCGTACCATACTTATTGTTAGTAAAGTTAACATTAATATTAGAAATATTTTTACTATCAATATATAATCTCTCATAGAAAAAATAAATATAGCGAAGATATCCAAATATGATATAATTGAATATAATTGAAGATGAAATTAAGTTCCTTCCTGTGCCTTTAATTCTTCTAATAACTGTTTGCGTTTCTCTGCTCTTCTTAAATTAGATAATACAGAACTTTCAAATTCTGCATCTGACATTGTTGCCTGCTGCGTCTATATAATGAAAATATTACATAAAATTATTATCATAACAGTATTAAACAGTAATTTTAATTTTGTTACATGTATTTAAGTAATACATACGAATATATCAGGTGCAGAAGCAAAACTCAGAGATGAACTTATTTTACTTTTCAAAGGTGTATTTACAGAAAACGGTTGTCCAATACTAGAATTTGTACTTTTTGTAGTAGTTGAATGTTTCGTTGTATCCCATAAACCACGAAGTATTAGGGGGTTCTCGACTAATCCAATCTCTATTAAAAGAGCTGTTTCCTGGAATAAATATTTTATTAAAGAATTTTGTCATATAAAATAATATAACACGATTGTTCCACTAAAGCATTTTACTTACTGCTGCACTTTTATTTCCAAATTCAACCATTGCTCTGCCTTTTTTTGTAGATGACACAACAAGAGCTGCTATGTCTCCATACTGTAGAAAAATAGAAAGTGTAGAATACTTGAAAGCTAGTATAACTTCAAAACTGAAGGATTAATGATTACTTACTTTTGAAAATATTCTATGTAGATTATCATGGTTGTATCCACCATTTGTTGGATCGTCTTTTTGTGCCTTCCATCTAATTTTTATTCTAAAATCTTCTATGTTAGAATCTTCTGAGGAATGAAATTGTTTCCAAATTTGCCTTTGTACAAAGGCTATCTCCTCCTCTACTTGTTTGGATCCTTCTTTTTGCAATCTTTCTATTTCAGCCTAAATAATTATATATTTTATACTTGGAATGCTAACAATCTATATAAACATATTCTCTAATAATATTAAATTGATTGCATACTTTCAATCGTTCCTCATCGGATTTGGTGTTATATGTAGGATCCAATGATCTCTTGTAAGCCTCTTCGCGTGCCTCCAAATCTTCCTTTAATTTTTTTCTCTTCACATCAAATTCTTTAACGCGTTCTGCCGCTTGTTTTCTGGCAGTAATAACTTTATCATATGCAGCCTTGTTTCATGATAATGCATTTTAATAAATTAAATTAATTATAAGATTTTTTTAAATCTAAGAAGGGATACATTTAATAATGATAATAATAGTAATATAAACTTTAAAGAAATGATACTTACTCTAGCTTTTGTATCCGTTAATATTTCTAATGCTTTTGAGAGTTCGCGAAATAATTCCACTGCTCTTGGATTATCAGGATTTTTGTCAGGATGACAAGTTAAGGCTTTCTTACGATACGCTCTTTTAATCTGAAAATTAATTGCATATAAATTTTATATATCTTCTCTATTGATAAATACAAGATAAAACTACTTAGTATAAATATGCCTAACATTACTCTAATTATTTAATATATTATTCACAAACGTAAAGTATTTTATTTCGCTATATAACGTGTATAAATATATTTCTAAACAATTATAAATCACCTCTGCAAGTGGAGCTTGATGCTCCACACCAAGCATTTCGTAAAGATCCATCGTAATTGTATCCATTATTGATAAATTAGAATATATGTGGAGGTGTCCCGCTTTTTGTCCTCGACATGGACATATAAATCACTGATTTTTTTTTTTATATTTTAACTGGACTTTTATATTTTAACTTTATATTATAACTTTTTTATATTTTAATTGAACTTTTATATTTTAACTTAATATTATAACTGGATAGTGAATGCCCTACTTCTAGCGCAAATTTTTTGTGTGCATATGAATAGCGCCATATTGGATAAAGCGTGTCATTTTCGGGCGTCATCGGTAGTCGTCGTAAATCGTCGTGCGCGCAGTCATATATAGGGTCATATAATTGTTTCGAAGAAAAAAAATATGTAATTTGCAATTAACAATTACATATTTTTTTGTAAAAATAACTGTGTTTTCTACACCAATTGATTCCTCTCATTATTTTGTACATAAAAGTATTAAGGTAAGATAATCGAAAAATGAATATTTTACAAGCAGTGTTTGCTGTAGATAATTTCAAAATTATCTAGATAAAGATAAAGATAAAAATCTGTAAATTTATCTTAGATGAGATAAAGATGATTTTGCTTTATCTAGATATTTTTTTTATTTTAGAAGACTATAAATATTTGTAAAAAATGTGACGCAGATTATAAATGGAATATTAAAATCATAAACACATATTCTTTCTCTTTTTCTAAAGAATATTTAATATTATAAAAAAATAATAGCAAAAAGGTATATAAATAATATGATAAATATTTATTTATTAATTTATATTTATAATATATTTATAATATATTTATATTAATAATAATAATATAAAAAATATATTTTAGATATTTTAGATAGATTTTTAGAAGCTTGCCTGAAAACTTTTTTTGCATAATGAAAACGTCATCTTAGACAATTTTTAGATAAGATGACATATATTTTTCTAAGATAAAGATAAAGATACTTTGTATTTCTTCATCTAGTTAAAGATAAAGATGATTCATTTCTTTGATAGATGATTATCTAGATAATTTTATCTAGATACCAGCAAACATTGTTTACAAGATATTTTACGGTTTATGTAAAATTAAGAAATGATATCAAGACTCATAACTCGAAAAGCACTCAATAGAAAAATACTTTATTATAGTGTTTTGGTAAGCTCTCAAGGTAAGCTACAAGAATATGCAATGAAAAATAGGAGGTTTTATTTAAAAAATTTAAGTTGATCTTGCCCTGACCTTGGCGACGCCATTCAATATCAAATGGATATTACATAAATAAATGGTTAAATACATCTTTTTAAGATGTTTAAAAAGTTAATCCTTAGAATTTTTGTCTAAAGCATTTTATTTCTAAAATGCATTCTATACGAGATATTCGACTGTATCCAGACTTTTTTGGTTTGCCCTGTATATGAGTGCGCGCACGACGATTTACGACGACTACCAATGACGCCCGAAAATGCGCGCTTTTTCCATGACTCGCTTTTAGATGGTCCCTGGAAGTGATACTCCCTCTATGGACATTAAAAACGTGGACATGAACTACAAAACAAATGTCCACGAATGTTCTCAGAGGGTAACATATATGTCTCTCTGATAGTATATGTAAATAATATAAATAAAAATATAAATAATTTAATTAATAATAATTTATTATATAAAAATATTAGTATGTCTCTCTTTTGACGCTATTATTTATGTTATATATTTATATTATATATTTATATTATATATTTATATCCCCAATAGCCAAGTCTGCTAAAGCAGATCTTGTCAGGGAATCTGTTACAAATTGTTGTCGACAGAAAGATTACAGAATCGATGCAGGTTCTGATATATCATGTGATGTCAGCAGAATGTCAACAGAAATATAACAAAGCTTGTTAACATAATCAGTTACCAGATTGGCAGCAAAAATTGAACAGATTCTGTCGGCATAACTTAGTGGCAGATTGGTGGCAGAAATTGAACAGGATCTGTGCGATGCAATTTGACAACAGATTGTCGGCAAAAATCGAACAGGATCTGCGCATACAATCTCTGATAGCAGATTGATGGTAGAAACGGAACAGGGTTTGCATGATTCGATAATTCCTTCACTTACCGCTACGCGAGCTGTACTTTCTCGTAATTGAATTTCTGTCAGAAATATATATAAAGTCGCGAATACGAATAAAAGATTAAAAATGTAGTAATTATTTTAATTTCTATCACTTTAATTTCTGATATCTGATACAAGCAAATGAGAGTCAGAATATTAAACTGATTGAAATCAATATGATAAATGAAAAATTATTCATGTACTGCCTATTTGAGGCATGAAGCAAGAATTTAATTCTAAATATAATAAATTAGTCTCAAGTCAATTCATCTCAAGTTTTACAAGTTACATTTACTTTTATCATTTACTTTATTATTAATTTAATTAAATTGAATTAGTTCTTCGCTATATGAGATATATCTACGATATAACATATTACATATATGTCATTTTCTAAGAAAATTCTAATTAACTTGCCGATAATATTGTTATTTAGCACCTGTAATAATCAATTGTGTTGCATTTATATAACATTAATAAAAGTAAGCGCAAATCTTGTGAAGTTTCTGCTGTCAATTTGTTATCATGCGCAGATTCTGCTCGGTTTCTGCTGACAATCTAACATCAAATTGCATGCGCAGATCCTGCTCGATTTCTGTCGACAATCTGATATCCGATTCTGTGAGCAGGTTCTGCTAGCAGATTAGAAGCAGAATGAGGACGCAGTAGATGTCATTCTGCTGACATGGTTTGATCAAATCTGTTGCCAGTCTGTCGACATACTGCTTACATTTTGCTTATTGGGTATTATATATTTATTTATTTATGTGTCTTCTTTTTCTTTTTCACATCATTTATTTATTTATTTAGTTCGCTCTAAGTTAGCCTTTTAAAATGCAAAACTAAATATTATAAAATTTGACTTTGGAAGAGCGCGATAAAACAATCGTAATAATTTCATATTCTATTGTCTAATATTTTCTAATATGTAATATAATGATATGCCGTTAAATTTCTTTTCTATAGATACAATCACGATCAACATCGGAAAATTATTTATTATAACAATATGATTAATTAATTTTTATAAATAACACATAATTCATATCTATATATATTGCGAGGAAAATTCTCGAATCGAATATATTTCATAATTTCATTTAATCAATTAAGAATCATAGTAATAGAAATCTGAAAAAATAAATTATTATTTCGATATAAAATCGATTTTTACGAACAGAAATTATTTCTTTAATATTTATAAATATTTATAGAGTTGAATACAATGTCTGCGACGTTTTATCGCTTTATTTTTCAATCATTGAAATATAATTTGAATTGTGAGAACGCGCAATAAAACAATTGAATCGTGTATCTAAACAATTTTAACATAATAAAAGACTCCATGATCCATGACTCCATGATCAATCTTTTAATAAATAATCATATAATTAAAAAATCTATATAATCTAAAATACTTCTATATACTTTAATATATTTCATGTATATATGTATACATATGTTAAAATACGTAAAATATTTCGATGACGAACAGACAGTAACACCGACCTTGGCGGCGTAAACAATAGCGCGCTAATGTTTATATGCCATAGTCTTGAAAAATGTTTCGGTGAAAAAATAATAATAACAGTCTTTTGGACCAATTTGTTCGGCTCTGTTATTATTCGCGCGACGACACTCAAAGAGTAAAGTAGTGGTACAAGACACTCCGTTAAATCCTTTTCTAGACGCGATCGCGATCAATATCGAAAAATTATTTGCTGTATTAAAATATGTAAAATATAATATAATATAATATAATATGATATAATATAATATAAATATGTATTGTTTACGCCAAGGTCGGTATTATTGTCTGTTCGTCATCGACATATTTTACGTACTTTAACATGCTTATTATTATATTACATTATAATATAAAATATAATATAATATAATACAATAAAATATAATATACTTCGATATGACGAACGGACAATAACACGGTGTTCGGCCTTGACAATGTAAACAACCCAGTGAGAAATGTTGATCGAATCTACATCGATTACCGCCGCACGATTTTTTTTCGCTCAGATATACAAGTTATAAGACGGAATGCATAGGGATCCAATAAGCCATTCTAAATCAACCGTGCCACCTCTCTATCTCATTACGAATCAAAATTAGAATAAAAATATATATTTTTAAATACCTTCTGTCACCTTTTGAAATTAAAAATGGCGCATCCAATATAGCGAATAGAATCACAATAAAAAGGCATAAAATTTAGAAAAATTTATCAAAATGTGTAACAACTGTATTAGACATTTCTTTACAATACTTTTTTGGCCAACCGAACCTGCCATATGTCAGTCTTTCTAAATTTCAAGGTTATGGATCCATATTGATGTCTATATAAATTTTCTTTAATGTAAATTTTCTTACAACTTCATACTTATATATCTCAGCGAAGAAAAATCATACGGCGGTAATCGAAAGTGGATTTGAAAGGCGAAAGTGAGTATTATACGATGCCATTGACAGAAATATTTAAAAAAATTTGGTTTACTCACAATAAATTCATGAAATTGGCCAAAATAGCGATTTTTGGGCTATTCAACTACAAATAACTCAAAAACTTGACGTACTACGCAAATTCGGCGGCCAGATTCAGATTCAGCGCACAAAATTACGTTGGAAATCACTATTGCATTTTAAAAAAAAAAACCTCGCAGGCCTGTGTAATTCGTATTAATATACATGTACTGCATATATATTTCAATAATGAAAACAACATTTATAATGAATTAGTATTTAATTTGATCTCATAAAAATGTCGAGCGAATCGTACTTCTCTATCCCTTATACGATATATTAAAGTGCGTTTCTCGTAATTATTCCGCGATCGGGAGTGCTATGCAATGTGTCTCGCAATCGTTTCTATACATGGTTAAATATAATTAATTATTTGTTCGCGAGTGAATATCAGTGTTATGAGGAAACAGCAAAGAATGAAAAAGAAAGGAGAAGGACATCTGGAAAAGTATTGGACAGCTGGAGAGCAGTGACAGAGTCTGAAGCAGCCAGAGAGATATGTGGTGAGTAATTTATAAAAATTATTTATTATTTATCTATATTATTTTCAAAATAGATATATTGCTTATCATTTTTTCATTTTCTCGATAGTAGATTTATATAATTGGCAATTATCCAAACTAGATAAATAAAGAATAACCGAGACATCAAAAGTCGAATTAAATTTATAGATTTGAATATTAATTTTTTATTTTAGATTTAAAAATAAATTTAGAAAAACGCGATAGACTCTCTTAAAAATGATGGAAAAAGTTTATATACATCATATATAAACATTATAAAATTATTTATAGAAAAAATTTATATATGAAAAAAATTTATATATGTTAATTATTTTCTTTTTTCACAAGCAAACGTAAATGTTCGTAATTCTTAGTTTCTTCGACTGTTAAACGAGTGGTTGGGAAATAGATAAGTTAGTATATTTGTGGAACCCAATTTGTTTACCTCACGTAAAAGATAGAAATATAACTTTGTTTAATCACGCAATAATTTTCGTGAATGAAAAAGCTACGCGAAAAAAAAAATATGGTTTTAAATATATATAAAGATATATAAAAATATATATAAAATATATAAAAAAAATATATTTAAAAAATCTATTCTTTTTTAAATTAAAGTGATTAAAGACAAAAAGAAAAACAAAAAGTATAATCATAATTAGAAATAAATATAATTATAATTAGATATTTAGAAATATTTCGTGATAGTCAGTAATTATATTTTTTATCGTATACATATGAAATTGTTGAACATGAGAGCTAAACGAATTTTTCGTGTTATATTTGATATAACCAATATCAATACAGCAGATAAATTGATGGAGACGCGAATCACAATTCACGTAGAATGGAGATTTATTATTAAACAGGAGAACAAATTTTTAATTTAGAGATACTAAATGAGATACTATTCTGAGATACTAAACGGATTTATGCAGAAATGATTACATGTATATATAAACGATAAAAATACGATAAGATACTTAAATTTTTTATGAAATAAAAATAAATTAATTCTCATCAATACAATACGGAACAACAGAATTATAGTATTCAGTAAATATAATTAAATAGAAATAAATTCAAGTCATACACAAATGGTAATAAGCAATAATTAAATGGTAATAAAGCAAATAATTAAGATTTAGGAAAATTATTGCATGCAATTAAATTCTTTTTTAAATATATGTACTTTCATGGAATACTATAAACAAAAATCTATTTTTTTATTTTAATCATTATTAATTTTACATAATATTAAAAAAAAAAAAAATATATATATACAGGGTGAGTCATTTTAATCAATACACTCGAATATCTCGAAAACAGCACTCTTCAGAAAGAAATATTTCAAACAAAAATTGTAGGGTGTGAAGGGGGACATAAGATGGTAGCATTGGTTTGACCTTGGAAAGTCATTTGAAGGTCACATAAAAGTCACCTTCAATTTCTTAAATTGAACCCACTATTTTTCATTACATATTCTTGTAGCTTATCTCGAGAGCTTTCCAAAACACTACAGACAAATGTTTTTTCATTAAGTACTTTTTGAGTTATAAGGCTTCAAAGTTTGCAGTACTTCGATATAAAATGCAAAATATCTCGTAAAATATTTAGTTTTCGGTAGTCTTATCCTAATACTTTTATGCACAGGATAATGAGACAAAACTATTGGTGCAAAGAAAACGTATGATTATTTATAATAAAAAATGTGTAATTTGCAATGCACTTTTTGTTATAAAGAATCATGCGTTTTCTTTGCACCAATAGTTTTGTCTCATTATCCTGTGCATAAAAGTATTAGGATAAGACTACCGAAAACTAAATATTTTACGAGATATTTTGCATTTTATATCGAAGTACTGCAAACTTTGAAGCCTTATAACTCAAAAAGTACTTAATGAAAAAACATTTGTCTGTAGTGTTTTGGAAAGCTCTCGAGATAAGCTACAAGAATATGTAATGAAAAATAGTGGGTTCAATTTAAGAAATTGAAGGTGACTTTTATGTGACCTTCAAATGACTTTCCAAGGTCAAACCAATGCTACCATCTTATGTCCCCCTTCACATCCTACAATTTTTGTTTGAAACATTTCTTTCTGAAGAGTGCTGTTTTCGAGATATTCGAGTGTATTGATTAAAATGACTCACCCTGTATATATATATATATATATACAGGGTCTACCAAAAGTGTGGAAACCCCTAAATATCTCGGAAAATATACGTTTTACAGAAAAGTGTTTCCAACAAAAGTTGTAAGGTTTAAGAAGATCTATATACTGATTCTATCAGTTTGACCTTGGATGGCGTCGTCAAGGTCAGGTCAAGGTCACATTGACTTTTTTAAATGACACCCCCTACATTTGATTGCATATTCTTATAGCTTAATTCAAGAGCTTTCCAAAACACTATAATAATGTTCATTTTTATTAAGTACTTTGCGAGTTATGAGGGTTGAAATAATTTCTTAATTTTACATAAACCATAAAATATCTAGTAAACCATTCATTTTTCGATTATCTTACCTTCATACTTTTATGTACAAAATAATGAAAGGAATCAATTGGTGTAAAGAAAACATACAGTTGTTTTTAAGAAAAAATATGGAATTGTTAATTGCAAATTACATATTTTTTCTTAGAAACAACTATGTGTTTTCTTTACACCAATTGATTCCTCTCATTAATTTGTACATAAAAGTATGAAGGTAAGATAATCGAAAAATGAATGGTTTACTAGATATTTTATGGTTTATGTAAAATTAAGAAATTATTTCAACCCTCATAACTCGCAAAGTACTTAATAAAAATGAACATTATTATAGTGTTTTGGAAAGCTCTTGAATTAAGCTATAAGAATATGCAATCAAATGTAGGGGGTGTCATTTAAAAAAGTCAATGTGACCTTGACCTGACCTTGACGACGCCATCCAAGGTCAAACTGATAGAATCAGTATATAGATCTTCTTAAACCCTACAACTTTTATTGGAAACACTTTTCTGTAAAACGTATATTTTCCGAGATATTTAGGGGTTTCCACACTTTTGGTAGACCCTGTATATATATATATATATATATATATATATACATGTATACATATATACATGTATATATTTATTTATATTTATGTATATTAATATCATTTAATATTAAGATTTTATATTAATATTTTATATATATTTATATATATTTTATATTAATATTTAATATTAATATTAATATTAATATTTTATATAATTTGAAGTTTATACATATATATATAGAATATATTTATAATATATATACATATAGAATATTTCAATATATCACATTGGTGAAATAAATTTTTTTTTTTTTTTTTTTTTTATTAAAGATAATGATTCCCTTCTCGGAATACATGTTCTGTGTTTTACATTTACACCTTTTCTGTATTACTTTATACACTTATTTTATACATTTATACATTAATTCATTCATTAATTCATACACTTATTTATCCACTTATTACTTGGCTCAGTTTTTCTCTTTCTTTTCTTTTACACAACTTCCGCATCCAGTCTATTCCTTTACCGTCTTCTGCCATAATAAATTCTTCGCTCAGGTTGTCTGCTCTTGATTCCGGGCATTCTCTAAATATATGGTGCCATGATTCCTCTCCTTCCTCGCACAGTCTGCACATTTTTTTTTCTTCCTTCTCCCAATATCTATTGCCTCTCCATTCATTTCCGCATCTGAATCTTGCGATTGTCTTCAGCTTTGTGCCCTTTCCTTTCCGCTCTAAATATTTCGCTCTTTCCCTTGTTTTCCATCTGTTGTATTCTTTCGTTGACTTCGATCTCTCCATCTTCCTTTCTCTCTCCTCCAATTTTTTCTTTTTGTAGTTGGTTGTCCATTCTTCAATCGTGTCTTTTCCCTGTTCCTCTCTTGCTTCTCTTGTCCACTGGTTTGATCCGCCCTCCTTGTAAAACGTTTGCATCCTTCTTCCCCATTGTGTGTCTTCCCATTTTCTATCGCTAATTTCCCTTCTGCATTCTCTCAGTATTTCGTTATCAATCATTCCTTTTATTTTTTCCTGGTATTTTATCGCTCTTCCTCCGGCTTCTATGCTGATTTGTTCTATCTTTGTTTCTTCTCTAATTATGTAGCTTGGCGTGCATCTGTCTAAGCCCAGTATCCATCTTATATATTTCTCTTGAAGTGCTTCAATCTCCTTCCATTCTTTCCATCCCCATATTTCGACTCCGTATAAGAGTATACTTTTAACCATGACATTGAACATCATCATTCTCCTGTCGAAGTCTCCTCCAATTTTTCTTTCGCCTATCCCCCAAACCTGTGCCATGGCTGCTGTTGCTTTCCTCACTATGTCTTTTACATGTGCTTCATCGGTGTTGCATTTTTTAAATGTGAATCCCAGATATTTGAATTCCTTCACTTCTTCTATCTTGCTGTCCTTCCATTTCCAGTTCCTTTCTTGCTTAATTCTTTCTTTCCTACAAAAGACCAACATTTTAGATTTATCTGCGTTTAGAGTCAGTTCTTTTTCTTCTAAATATCTTTCTAGAGTTTTTAGCATTTTCTTCATTTCCCTTTCCGTCTCCGCCATCATCGCTAGGTCGTCCGCGTACGCCAAGTTCTCCTCCTTCCCAGTCTTGCGCCTCCGTTCTGTCTTTTCTTCATAAAGTCCTCCACATCCGCAATGAATGTTATGAATAGGAGTGGGCTCAATGGGCATCCTTGCCTCAGACCTCCTTCTGTCCAGAATTCCTCTGTACATTTATCTCCTACAATTACCCTGTTGATCGTTTCTTCATAGATATCTTTTATTCTGTTGATCAGTTTCCGATTTATGCCGCGTTCTTCCAGAACCTTCCATAGCTTCTTTCTGTTCACCTTATCGAACGCTGCTTTCAGGTCCGCAAAGAAGACGTAGAGTTTTCCTTTCTTTTTTGTTATCGTTTTTTCCGCTATTATTTTCAGTGCAAATATATTATCTATGCAACTTCTCCTTTTTCTGAAACCTGCTTGCGTTTCTGGAAGCAGCTTTAGTCTCTCAACTTCCTTCCTCAGTTTTTTTTCCAGAATCATTGCATATATTTTGTATGCCGTGTCTAGTAATGTTATCCCTCTAGTTCAAAGTAGTTTTTCACTTCTTTCTTGTCTCCTTTTTTATGTATTGGGTATATCATGCCTACTTTCCATCCTCTTGGCAATTTCTCTCCGTTCCATATTTTTTCCATTATTTTCCTCAATTTTTCTTTTGTTTCCCTATCTGCGTTTATCCACACTTCGTTTTTGAGCCTGTCTTCACCTGTTGCTTTTTTCTTCTTGAGTCTTCTTATTGCGTTTTCCATCTCTTCCTCTGTGAATCCCTCTTCCTCCTCCTTTGTTTCTTCCTCTCGTGGCATTTCTTGATTATCTCCTGCTTCTCGCACGTTTCGTGCATCGTTATTTCCTCTCGTCTCACCTCCCTCCAGTAGTTCCATGAAGTATCTTTTCCATTGTTGCTCCTCAATGTTGTCCTCTGGCTTTTCTCGTCGGCCTCTCTCCTTCTTTATATATCTCCATATTTCTGTTTCATTTTGTATCTCTGCGATTTTGGTCTACTCTCTTTCTCTCCCCTCTTTCTTCTTTGTTTCGCAGAGCTTGCTGTGTCTTTGTTTTTCTTCTATAAATTCTGTCCTCTCTATGTTTCCTTTTCTCATTTGCCTGAGGGTTCAGTTTCGTTTTACTGTTTCTGCAGTCTTTGTCCCACCAAGGTTTCTTTCCTACCTTTTGCATTTTGTTCTTGACTTCTTTTTTGCTTATTGCTTTCTTGATTTCTTCTACTAGTTCTTCCCATTCCTCTTGGATTTCTTCCTTTTCTGCTTTCCTCTTCTTGAGATTTTCTTGGTATATTTTTATTCCCTCCTCTGTCCAATCTTCTATCTCTTTCTCTTTTACTTCTTCTCTCTCTCTCTTATCTCCTCTGTTGTCGCTTTCAGTTCTATCTCTAAAGGTTGATGGTCTGATTCAGTCCTTTCTCCTATCCTGAAACTTTTTATTTCTTCCCATGTTTCCGCGTTACAAATTGCATAATCTATTACTGAATTTCCTCTTGCTCCTGTGAATGTCCATTCTCCCTGTTCGTCGCCTTCCTTATTTCCATTCAGTAAACCTAGTCCTAGCTTCTCTATTTTTTCCAGTAGATCAATTCCTTGTTTGTTCATTATTTTGTCCTTCGAGTACCTCCTACTTCCTTCCTCCTCTCCATCCCAAATTATTTCTCCTTTCTCTGCTGTTCTAGCGTTGAAATCTCCTCCTACTATCATTTTTTTCCATCCATCGCCTTCGATTATCTCTTCCAGTTCTTCTAGTGATTTCTTCTTTCCTTCTCTATTGTAAATTGAGATAATTTTCCATTTTCCTCCGTTGATTTCTACACCATAACTAATTATTCCTTGTGTTTCTTTTTGTACTTCCTCCATCCTGATGTTTTTCTTCACTCCTGTTATCATGCCTCTCACTCCTCTGCCCCTTTTCTTATCTCTTGCTGCGTACTGTGTTACCCAGTTGTATTCCTTTGGCATCAGGGCTTCCATTTTTTTCCATTGCTTCTCCTCTATCCACGTCTCCGTAAAGTTAATTATATCAAAATCCTGTATGTACTCCCAAAACTCCTCGTCTTTCCTTGCAATTCCTGCCGTGTTCCAGAATATTGCCTTTATCTCTTTCTGTACTTCCTTGCTGACTGCCTTTGTTCATATTATACTGGGCCGTTGTTATTTTACTTGGATTGCATGGCTTGCCTGTTCTGAAAAAACTTCTTTCAGTCCTTCCCCTTCCTTCCATTTGAAAGTCCTTTCATTGACCATTATTTTCTTGTATCCTATCTTCACTTGATTTCCTCGTTCTCTCTCCAATTTCGCGATTTCTGCTATTTCTTTTTGTACATCTCTTTTCTTTTTTGTTAAGTCGTTGTCAATGTACAGTTTCTTACCTTTCAATTTACTTTTCTTTGCCAAAATTTCTCTTTTCTGTTGCCAGCTTTTTAGTTTCGCTATCAACATTCCTCCTCGTTGCTCTCTTCTTATCCAGTATGCCTCCTCCACGTCCGCCTCTACCTGCAGTTCTTGTCTCATTATCTGTTCTATTATTCTCTTAGGTGGGCCTTCTCTCGATAAATCCTCTCCTTTCAAAGTGATATTGTTCCTTCTTTCTCTTCTCTCTCTTGTCTCTTCTTTCTCTTCCAGTTGTATCATTCTTGCCATTTTCTTCTCCAGTTGTTCTTCTTTGGTCTCCAGTTCCTTCAACCTATTTACTATTATCTCCTTTTCCTTCTTCCATTCCTCTTGTTTCTTTTTCCATTCTTCTTTTAAGTCTTGTATTTCTTGTCTTATTACCTTGTTTTCCTTCTTTATCTCCTCTGTATCATTCTTGATTGTTAGTATAATCTCTGTCAATTTATCTATTTTATCCATGTCTAGCTCTTCTTTGTTTCCTGTATTCTTCTCCTCTTGCGTCCCTTCTGCTGCTTTTTCTATTCTTTTCGTTGGGGGTGACCTGCTCGCTGCTCTTGTTTTTTGGAATTTCTCAAGTAGTTCCTTCTCTGTTCTTATCCTATCTTCCTTTTCTTCCCTCTTCCTCTTAAACGAGTCGACTATTGACTCGAAACTATTGGCCCTTTGTCTTCCAAGGTGCTCCTCGTGGGTCGGCCTCCCTTTTCGTTTTGGCTCCTTTTGTCTTTCCGGGCCTTCTCCTGTTTTATTCATTAATTTGAATTTCTCAAAATCGCGTAAACGACAATTAACCGTTTATTTTTGAAACATCGGCTTCTATTATTGACACTCAATATTGTCGTTATTTACACCTTCTCTCTTTCCATGAAAGTCAATGTTGAGGCGACGTTTTCATTACTCACGATTTCGTTCAACGTCAAACGTTACCTCTTTCGCCGGTGTTAATTTGCATATCACGTCCCGGTCCTTATTTTGGGTTTATTCCGTTATTTTGTTATCGAGCGATTCTCACTTGTACAATTATAAGTAGATTGTAAAAGGCTGCGTCATATTTCTACGTCCTTGAGCACGTATAATATATTTCGATGATTCTCGTTTCAACGGAGTTTAACGCATCCAATTTATATGCCACAGTATTCGCCGTAACTATTCACACCGTTAGCACTCAGTTTTAGACATAAAGAATTTACTTTACACTCCCCAATAAGCACTCAAGGCGGAGCGACCTGACACACGTCCACACGCCACGACAGCCTATTTGGCTCTCGTGAAATAAATTATTATTAAAGATAAAAGCAAATAATTAATTCCACAAATAATAAATATAATAAAATAAAATAAATTATAAATTACTCACGATTGTTTCGCCATCGCACGATGCGTTTAATGAGTTATTTTTTTCGTTTCTTTCGTTTATTTTTTTCTGCTTTATAATATTCACTTGATATTCAAAAAAAGTAATTACGCACTAATCAGCATATAGCAATCGATCATACAGCAATTTACGCTTTGTACAATACTCGCGACGTTACACCATGCCTTTTGTCATTTTGCTATTTTTGTGATAATAATGCAATATATCTCAAAAAGTTATGACTCACTCAACATTAATTAAAATCAAAATCAAAACGCGCCACTCGCTATGTAAATAAAAATCGTACAAATTAATAATCACTAATTGCAAAAATTATACAGAACAATTGCGTTTTGAAGGATCGATTCTCGACGAACGATTCGAGTATTTCCGCGAAAGGTCAGAATTGAGTTCGAACGCGTGACTCGAGTAAACATAATATAACAATTCGTCATATAACAATTTTTTTAAGGAAATAACCAATATATTGAAACAGTTTCACCAACTGGTCAATTGATCGGTTTTTATATCAGTAATTAAATCGGTAAAACTATTTCGATATACTGATTATTTATTTTAAAAGTTTATTCATTGTTGCCGCGATGTTAACGGAATAAACGGAATACAATCGTAGTTACAATTTTATTATTAATAAATAGTTGATTTGACCATTGCTCTTTTCATTATTCGAAATACTCGATTATACGATTGGAATATAATTAGAATATAATTTCGAAACACGTATTTCGCGTGATGCGTTCATTTAATTAAGCAATTAAAAAGAATCGAACGCAATTAAGAATCGATGTGTGTGACCGGAATCAAAATTATAAATTATCATTTTGTTGCAATCCTTAGGAACAATAATTATTCTTCTTTTAATATTTATAATTAAGAATATTTCGTCCGATGCTTTATCATATAACTATGTGATGATTTAAATATATATAATTCGAGAACGCGTAGTAAAACGATCGAATGGCAAAATCGAATAATTAACGTAATGGAAAGCCTTGTGATGTATATTAATCGTTTAATAAATAATTAATCTGTGTGTACATGTGTATGTGACTTTAAAAATATACTTGTATATAAATTCAATTTTCGTATACATTATGTACATCATAGTACGCGTAAAATATTTCGGCAGCGAAGTCAATAACACGACGTTCGATCTTGATGACATAGCGCTGTATTGTTTTCATAGGCGAAGACCTTGTATCATTCGCACGGCGACATTCCAGTAGTAAAGTAGTGATACGGAACACTTCGTATTATTGAATTCTTTTTCTAACAGTGCGATCGCGATTAATATCGAAATATAATTCGCTACGACTATTAAAATTAACAATTCATTAACTCTTAATAAATAACATGAAACTATATGGCGATGATACATCCATCGAAACGCGATCCTTCATTATTCCAAATAAAAATTGAAACAAAAGAGGCAAAAATTATAAATACATAGACGACCTTGTATTATTCACACGACATTTCAACGGCAAAGTAGTGATACAAAACGCATATATTAATGTGCGTTTCCCGTAATTATTCCGCGATCGGGAGTGCCGTGCAAAAGTCTCGCGATTGTTTCTATAGTATATGACTAAATATAATTAATTGTTTGTTCGCGAGTGAATATGAGTGCTATGAGAAAACAGCAAAGGATAAAGAAGAAAAAAGAAGGACATCTGGAAAAGTACCGGACACTTAGAGAGTAGTGAAAGAGTCTGAAGCAGTCAGAGAGATATGCGGTGAGTAATTTCTAAAAATTATTTATTATTATTATTATTAGTGAGTAATTTATAAAAATTATTTATTTATTATTATTATTTATATATGTATTATTTTCAAAAAAAAAAATATATTTATATATATATATATATATAGCTATATTGTTTATTATATATATATATATATATATATATATATATATATATATAGCTATATTGTTTATTATATATATATATATATATATATATATATATATATATATATACAGGGTGGGGAAAAAATATGGAAGCAAACAATTATTTCCGAAACTATTCATTTTTCGACAAAATGTCTTAGATATAATTTTTATGGTATGAAAAGATGTATTATGTGGCATAGACGGCATGAGCTTGAAATGACCCTTACGAGCTGCATACAAATAACGTAAAAAATTTCAAATGGAACTCATCAGTTTTTGTTACAGATTCTTGTAGCTGATGTCGAAACGTTTACAAAACACTGCATATGAGCCCCATTCCCTTAAAAACACTCCCAGTTACGAAACAATTGTGATACAAACAATTTATATGCACATTGACATTGCTTACTGATTTCGCATCATGACGTTCAGTTGCGTCCACTAATAACTCCACTAATACACTTCATTTTCTCTGTTAATTTACTACGCAAACACAAGATTTTTATTAAAACGTCTTAGCTCTCGCACGCTGTTACCAGACTGCGTATGCCAGCAGCACGCAACTACAGCTGACAACTGAGCGGACATGTGAGTGTAATCATAGTGCGCAGGCGTCGAACTCACACGTACGCTTACACTCACATGTCCGCTCAGCTGTCAGCTGTAGTTGCGTACGCAGTCTGGTAACAGCGTGCGAGAGCTAAGACGTTTTAATAAAAATCTTGTGTTTGCGTAGTAAATTAACAGAGAAAATGAAGTGTACTCTGCAGGAATATACGGATATGATTGTGACATACGGACTAGCGGGAGAAAATACTTATCGTGCGGCCGCAATTTACATGGAATCATTTCTCGGGCGTGCACGAAAACCAAGTGGCCGTACAATTTTACGTGTTGTGCAATAATTATATGAAACTGAGTGTCGTGCATAATATCGGGATAACCGGTCCAGCAATGCGTCTTCGTGTACGAGATGAAGAAAGGATTCTTGAAGAATTTTATCATCGTATCACATTATCAACGTGTGCAATACATTTTATCGAGGGATTTTCAACCACGAATCAATTTTTGTAAAGGTACTGTCCATAAATTTTTTACATTTACGATATATTCAGCGTATAGTAAATGGCATTTTGAATAATTTTTAAATTGAGAGTGGAATAGGCCTATGGGAGAAACCACTATAAAAAAAGCGCACCATGCTATCTACCGCAAGGTGGTGTGGAAATGATAGCGCATCATTTTCTCGCCATGAAAAGGGGGGACGTGTCATTTTTCGGCGCGGTATTGCGATATATCGCATACCACCATCATGTCTCGGAGAGCGACCCGCCCACCGCTTCGCCGCGTTCGTAATATCGGATTACGGTGGGACGACTCTTGTCGCCGCGCGCTTTTACTCACGCAGATTGGCCGATCTTTTTTATTTAATATTTCGTTAATTATTGCGACAATCCCAAAACAATACAGGTCATTCCTTCTTAATTCGAGCCAATCTACTTATTTATTTCATTTTGGTCGAAAATCGACGGACACCCTGTATAAAGTATTAAGTTTGCATAAAAATATTATGCAAATATTCATTGATAAAAATATTATGCAATATATTCATTGATACTTTTATTTGGGAAAGTTGCTTTTTTGTAATTTAAATAAATTTATGTATTGAAAATAATGCATTTTGCGTTACGCATGCGGCATAAAGGATTCAACCAATCAGAGTTCTTTATAATTAAATTTGGGCATTGACAATAATGCAGAGAATACTCGACTGTGATTGGTCAATTTTTTAAGGCTTAGGACTTAAATTACCTATTGTAGACTCGGCCTATTGGATATTTAGTGCGTTCGAAAATATGTTTGGTCGATATTGGGAAAAAAGATAAAGTTGGTAGTATTGAAAACTCCCAGTGCTGCGTTTCGTTTTTCCCACTGATCATTAGGGTCATTAGGATTGTTTGTATCGTATGTATGTACACTGCGCGACAACGATTCGTTCCGTGGTCCCTCTCGCGAGGCAAGGGGAGCGTAGCTTCTAACCAATCAGCCATTGCCACGCTGCCAGCTGATTGGTCACTTCTACGCTCCCCTTGTCCCGCGAGAGAGGGGCCACGGAACGAATCGTTGTCGCGCAGTGTACAATATATGAAAGTGTTGCAATTACACTAATCATTATTATGGAACAATATATTTTACTCGAAAACATCATTTTTGAATCTTCGAGTAATTCTTCTTCAGTTAGTGATGATAATAATGAAGAATTACAAAATATTTTAATCGAAAATAGAGGTAATAACAATAGAGGTAAAAGAAAAATAGTACCAAAAATAACAGATTATTTGGAAAATATTGTTACCAGATATACAAATATTGAATTTAAATCATATTTTAGGTAAATTATGTCACTTTATTATAATTATAGCATTATTATTAATATAAAACACACGTTCGTATTAATAATAATATATGTAATGTTATTAAACATATTATTATAAAATATATTTAAATAAATATATTTAACTACTTATTTACCTCTTTTAATATCTCAAGTAGCAAATTTTTTTTAATCCTAGTGATTCCAGTGGGACAAACGAAACGCAGCACTGGGAGTTTTCAATACTGCCAACTTTATTTTTTTTCCAAACACCAACCAAACATATTTTCGAACGCACTAATTGACTATAGATTTTCAGTGCTGCAAAAATTAAAATTACGTTGGCTAGAAATTTTTATTAATACCAACATTATTCCCTTACCTTTTCTGTGGAAAATGTGTAATATGTTGAAGCTTCAAATCCGATTATTTAGTACAAAATTTAAACTTTCTCGTTATATTTTGATGGAGTTTTATCTGGGTATGTACGTTAAATGTATATAATGCAGAATAGGAATATGATATTGAAAGTCGTTAAAATTTGATATTATCAAAAGAGTAACGAATGGTTAAGTTAGTTTATTGTAAAGTTGTGATATTTTACATTTGATAAATTTTTTAAGTATATTGATTGACTGCAGGATAGAAATTTTGAGTCTTAAAAAATTTTCTATTTTGAGGCCAGTCAATATAAAAAATTTGTCATCGACAAATGTAATATCGGTTTAAGATTAACAATAACAAAGCATGTTCCTTTTGATTTTTTGTTTTTTGGGAGAAAATGCTCTTATTTAAAAATTATAATTAATTCATTATTTTTATAAAACTTATATTTTCTAAAAACAAGCTTATTAGCATTTCTTTATGGATGATCTTTGTTTGTTTATTATTGTGGTTGCAAGAAATTTCATATGCTTGAATTTCTCATGTAATGACATTAGACATTAATACATGCATTTTGAGCATTTTATCCCACATTAGTAAACATTCTATATTTTATATTCTCATTTATCATTTTTACTTATATTAGATATAAGTAAATTGTAATATTTGTATAATTTATTTGTATCTTTTATTTAATATTCATATTTATTTTATAGATACCAAATAAAATCATGTTTTCTAAGGAATCTATTGGTTGGTATACTACTGACAATTTTGTCAAAGATAGGATGATCGACAATTCATTGATGCATAAATTTGCATTATCGTCAAAAATATTAAAAAGAACAAAGACACTCAATGTCAAAATAAAAAAATATGGTGTGAAAGATTACAAGCATTATATACAATTAAAGACTAATATCATACGGAGCTTGGTTGAGGATACTGACAATGATATTTCTGACATTTTATCCGACACTGACTATAGTGTTATATGTAGATCGTTGATAGAGAACAAAGACTCAGTCGATGATTCTAAAACATATATTTCCACTGATGAAGATCTTAAGAAGCAAACAAACACCAAGTCTAAGGGAAAGATCAATTCCAAGAATACAAATACAAAAGGAAGCATTCCAAAGAAAAAATTATCACAAGCAAAGTGTGACACTAGTGTATCTAAAAAACGTATTAATATAAGCTGGCAGAAAGTCACAAAGAAAAATAAAGATATATCACACTTGTCTAATAATCAATCATGCATAAATAATGAAGAAGACACTTTCAAGAATAATAATGATTATTTAAAGGTTCAAGCTAATAATCAATCTTTTTCTCAAGAATTTGATTCTCAAAATAGTACATCTAGTATAACAAAATCTATAAGTAAAAATATGAATGAAAGTTGCATAGATTCCAGTATGATGATAAGTGAATTTTCAAGTTCTCAATACAGTGCAATATTCAAAATAACATCAGATGAAAGTGAGATAGAGAATTATAAAGAGCAAAATGCAGTGACAAGTAAATCAAATACTGAATTAGATTCACAAAATGCACCAGATTCTTCATCAAAATATCAGGCTTCTTCATTGAAATCAATTAATTTAGAAAATATCAAAAACACTGATAATGAAATAAGTACTGTTATTAAATTAGGAAATACGAGGAACCATAGCGAAATAAAATTAGCAGAAGCAGATAATAAAAATCTGATAAACTCAAAAAATTATAGCAACACATATGAAAGTCAGAAATCTAAATTATTAAAAAATGTTAGAAGAAACTTGATGCCTGTGCTAGAAAATGATTTGATGAACAATGATAAAGATATTAAAAAGGATAAAAATAAAGAGGATAATTTAAATGATGATCAATTACTTGTACCTATTGCAAGTTCTACTTGGCACAGTACTCCAAAGAAAACATCAGTAAACGGTTCTGAATTTGATAAAAATTTGCAAGATAAATTTGACAAAATTGAACAAAGCGATATAAAAAATTCAACAAATTCGGATAATACAGAGATAATTTTCCCTCAACAATTTGAAAAGATTGCTAATATTGAAAAGATTGCTAATATTGAAACAATAGCTTCGAAGAATTCAAAGGAAGATATAAATAACATTTTAGAGACACAAAAAGAGAAATTTTCTAAACAAGAGAAAAATTGTTCCCAATTGAACCCAATTAAGGACATTAATCAAGAGGTTTTATTAACAGATCAAAAAAATGAAGTGAAAGCAGTGGAAAATATTGAAAAGCAGCAATCGTCTCCAAAAGAAAATAATACAAAGAATGTACACTCAAAATCTTATAAAATTTTAGAAAAGCAGAATAGGGAAAAAAAAATTTCTAAAGGAAAAGTAATAAATACCCTTCAATTAAATGAGGTTGATAAAGATATAGAAATTAATCTGACAAAACATGGAGATAGGAATGATTTATTAAATGAATTTCTTCATTCTGATAAAAAGGAACATTCTACAGAATCAAAAGATTCGTGTAATATTCAAAAGCAACAATTGTTATTTTCTAAGAAGGATCATGCAAAGAATGTACATTTAAAATCTTGCGATAATAATTCAAAAGAACAAGACGAGCCTTTTGAAAAAGAAATAGCAGGTGTCCTTCAATCAAACCAGATAGATAAGAATACAGAAATTTATTCAATTAATCAAGATAAAACACGTTCTGCGAAGCTACAAGATTCCTGCAATATTCAAAAGCAGCAATCGTTAGTTAAAATTACTTGTAGTGAAATTATCGACAAAAAGTATACGATAATAAATAAGCAAGATAATAATATCAGTATTGAAAAAAATGATATCAATTCCCAAGAAGAAATATCGAAACCAAAAGAAATTGAGAATAATATACCGATAACATCGGATACTGACAATGAGGAGGATAATGCGAATGATATGTCACCTGAAAATAAACGACTCCAGCAGCAAAAAAGATTAAACTTAGTTATGAGCAGTGATTCTAGTCAGAGCGAAGACGAACATATAGTCATTGAAACATCGAAAAACCATAATGATGATTTGGATATAAGCTGTTGTAATAAAGATACATTTGAGAATGATGTAATTAATTGTGAAAAGATCAATACAGATATTTCATGCAGCAAAGAAGTCGCGATAATTCCCACAAAAGAAAAAGAAGATTCACCACATGTAAAAAAAGAAATGAAAAAGCCAGCTGATGAAACTGCATCACTAACAAGCTGTACAAATGAAAATAATAATTCATCTAAATCTGCTGCAAGCAAAAATTCATTAAAAGAAATACAATATTCTGAAAATGTACATAACAATGACGATAATCAGAGTGAAAGTATAGAGGATGATGAAAGTTTTCAGTTGAAAGCTTCTGAAGATAATGCTTCATGCATTGAAGAATCTAGAAATGAAATTTCTTCAAGAAATAAAATTGGTTTATTAGATAAAGAGAACTTTTGCGATAAAAGTAATCAAAACAAGGACAGAATGAGCGAACTTGGAATTAGATGTAAACCTAGGCATGAACAAAACAAAGAATCGACAAAATGTTCAAATGTGCATCTTGACATCTCCTGCCATTATAGACCATATAATGTAAATAACTTTCTTTCTTTCTTTCTTAATTCTCTCTTTTGAATAAGTATCATTTGATTATTACCTTTTCAGTTACAACAACTAGTAAAGGACGAAAAGTTACTTGTCGAAACGATACCAGCTGGTTTTACGCTGGCAGATCTTTCTGAAGATGACGAAGCTTTTATTTTGAATGTTCCAAATAAGGTAAATAATTATTTTTTGAAACCAATGTGTCCTAAGAGATAAAGGAAATATTAGTGTTGTAGCAAATTAATGTATGCAATTAATATATTGCAGTGATAGGAATACTTGTACAATTTGCTACACACTTTGATTTTATTATTAACTTCCTGTCAATATAGAAAAAGCAAACTTGAATAATTAGAAGAAGAAATTCCTTATTAATTAGTCTCTAATTGAGCAATAAATCTGAATTTTTCTGATAAGATCGGATCTACAGTAGATGTGACTTTGAAACCATAAAATATTGGCCAATCAATTTTTAAATATAAAAAGAATAATTGAATGTGATGGATCGATTTCTTACGATTTAAAAGCTTACTACATCTATAGTAGACCCGGCCCAATGGAAACATTAAGTTATAAAGTAAATATTTCTTTAATCAAAGTTAATTTCGTAAATTACCTACAGGCCTTACAATGCAATCTGCAGGATCAACTGCTATCATTAAAAGAAAAAACAATAAAATTCGGAGGAAATAAATACAGAATTGTGAGTAGCCATGTGGGTACTGTATCTTGCATCTTTGCTACTGGAAAACAATGGAGACCTTATAAGACAGGTAAATCGATCTTCTCATTTTATCGATGAAAAACATTTATGTTATTTACTTCATCAAACAAAATTATAAGTTTTTTTTAATATATAGAAAAATGAAATCTATTGAAAAATTGAATCATTTTTGGGTATAACATTTTTATTGAATTATTTAAGAAACTCCTATAATTGATTTTATTTTTTAGTGAATATTAAAGACATCAGCACTATTACTGTACAAGAAAGATTGCCATGTTATTCGGGGAAATCGAATGTGTCAAATTTGTACGATACTATTATTTCTCCCGAATTAGAAACCTCAAAAATAAATGATCAACAAACAAATGAAACAAATTTAAAAATGCTGAAAGTTGAATGCAACAAGCGCAAACGAAGTGCAAATACAGGTAAATCAGTTATTATTAGACACAGATAATGTTTTAATCGATACACAAGTATCAATATATATAGTGAAGTACATAAACTATATATATATATATATATATATATATATATATATATATATATATAGAGAGAGAGAGAGAGAGAGAGAGATTGCTCTCATATTTAAAATTATCTTTTCTATTTTATATATATACCGGGTGTTTCAGACCACCCGTACACCCCATTTTAAAGCAAAGGAATTGGTTATTTTGATGTAATTTGCAATTAACAATTCCATATTTTTTCTTAGAAACAACTATGTGTTTTCTTTACACCAATTGATTCCTCTCATTATTTTGTACATAAAAGTATGAAGGTAAGATAATCGAAAAATGAATGGTTTACTAGATATTTTATGGTTTATATAAAATTAAGAAATTATTTCAAGCCTTATAACTCAAAAAGTACTTAATAAAAAGGTACTTAATTATAGTGTTTTGGAAAGCTCTCGAGATAAGCTACAAGAATATGCAATGAAAAATAGGGGTTCCCATTTAAAAAATTCAAGTCGACCTTGACATGACCTTCACGACGCCACCCAAGGTCAATCAAATTTACCCATGTAATGCATTACTTTATCTTCAACAACTTTTGTCTGAAACATTTTTCAAAATAACCACTTCCTTTGCTTTAAAATGGGGTGTACGGGTGGTCTGAAACACCCGGTATATATACACATACAAAGTGTCCCGAATTTAAATGTCAACTTCGGGAGCGTGTAGGGGATCGCTAAACTAAAAGAAAAAGTGGTATAGAGATATGCTCGTTTTTGCTTCGTTTTGGAGAAAATCGCAAAAAACATAAAACGTAGTTTTTATTTCTGTACTTATTTATTACTTTTTAATTCATATTTATTCATTTTTATTTATTTATTTATTTATTTTTTAAATAAATATGAATTAAAAAGTAATAAATAAGTACAGAAATAAAAACTACGTTTTATGTTTTTTGCGATTTTCTCCAAAACGAAGCAAAAACGAGTATATCTCTATACCACTTTTTTTTTAGTTTATCGATCCCCTACACGCTCCCAAAGTTATGACATTTAAATTCGGGACACCCTGTATATAAATAAATAAATATATATATATATATATATATATATATATATAAATAATAAACTTATATTAATTAAATTAATAACTTTTTTTTATTGAGTTAATATAAATGGTATTTGTTTATTTTTACAGAAACTGAACAATGTACGACTAAAAAGAGACAAGCAAAATTAAAAGATTAAGACTAAAAATTAAGATTATTTATTTTTAACAAAAAGGATTAAAAAATGATTTTTATTATAATAGAAAAAAATATATTGAATATTTGAATATTAAAGTCAGGAAAGAAAAGATTTTTATAATATACTGATATTTTTATAATATACTGATAATATAATAAAATATTGATAATATTACTGTTTATTGTACATTATTAAAATGCATAATTTACTGCAATAACCGAGTTATAATACTGTACATCTCTTGTATATTGTTTACTAATTTTACACACACACGCACACAGGGTGAACCATTTTAACGCGAATATTTCAAAAAGGAGAAGTTTGTAAAAAAAGGAAGAATTAATAAGTGTTTAGATATGTTAATGGACATCAGTTCGAACATTTAATAACGTAAAAGAACAAAAATATAAAATTTTTAATTTAATTTAATTTCAATACATTCTTTAAGTTTTAAATGCTTATAAGTTTGATAGAATAAATATATATATATATATATATATATATATATATATATATATATATATATATATATATGGGATTCAAAGTTAGTAATATACACACAAACGCGCGCGTACACACACACACTCACATACACACACACACACACATATACAGTTAATAATTCCAAATTTTAAATAAATGATTTGATTTTACACTTAATCGTTTTTGTCGAATATTTAAGCATCGGATGATGAATTTTTTACGATTACAGCTACTTAATAATTTGTATGAATTTACAAATGCACCTTCAAGTCAATATGTATGCTATAAGCTTTCTTTATATTTGTTTAAATATTTTTTAAATGATTTATTACCTGATATACATATATCTTCTCTATTAAAGAATATAAGTCTTCAGAAGAAATAAATATTTTATATTAAATTTGCACTCATTTTTATATTAAATTGATAATTATCAATATTATGCATATTTATGAATTTTGTAAAATAGCCAATTTTACAAGTCTAATTAATAATTTTTTATGATAAATATTGAATTTTTGGACCAAAAATCTGAATCTTTGAAAACTTCTCTTTCACAAAACTGAAAGTTTTATCAGGGTATTTTAAAATTTTTTAATTTGTTACTGCGTTTAATAATTTTCAAAATTTTAATATTTTAGCTAGAGTAAATAAAAAATCACATGTATTAAAGAAGGAAATTTTTAAATATATTTTATTTTGATTTCACTAAAAATGACAATTTATAATCTGAACATTTTTTAATATTTATTTTATTTTGATTTCATTAAAAATGATAATCTACAATCCTCAAATAGGTATATTAAGTTTTGTAATAAAAAATTTTCGATCATGTTTTCATATTACATAAATTTAATCTACAAAATTTCAATTACATCATTAAAAATGAAAGATTAGTTTTCAATAATAAATTGTATATACATATGAATACATTTACATTGTGATAAATTCAGTGAGCTAGTGAAACAAATATTATTATGCATTAATAATTGATTTATTAATTTAATTAAAACTTGCGTTGATTTATTTCTTGATCATAATAATCAATCAATATAATCAATATAAATAAATCAATACGATCAATATAAATAAATATATTATGTATTATGCATAAAACAAGTTCACCTATTTAATTCGTGTTAAAATTATCATATTATATTTATTATTTATTTATAATTTAGAAGAACGTATGCCCTTTCTGGGAAATTCCTTGAATGGTTTTAATAGAGGATATAGAGATTGACTAATTTTAAAGGCTAAAATATCATCAATTTTTTTAACTTCTTGATTGGCTGGTTTGTCAATAATGTTTTTGTCATTTGAATCAGATATATTTTCTTCTATTGATGTGTCATCTGTTGCCGTGGATATCACGTGTACTGATAATTTATGTCGTGCTTCACTATATATTTCCTAAAAGATTAATGAAATATATTATCAATTTTTTAGTTCTTCGAACTTTTCTCCAAATATGATACTCTACATATAAAATGAAATAAAGTATAATACAAGATATAAAACCTTATAAAAATCAAGTATTTGCTGCTGCGTTATAGTCTTCAAATAAGCTACTTCGATATTTGTTCGATCAAAATTATATTGTTGGCTTACAATCTCGTTCCAGAACATACCGCATAGAGAACTCAACATTTTTGGTTTCTCGAGACGTATCGTAGCTAGAGCTCTTTTGTATTTCTCAAATTGCTCTTCTGGCATTGTAGATATCTGATCCTACAATATATGATTATATATCATAAATAATATTTCAATAAAGATAAAATCTTTTCTATCATAAAGGAAGGTTCATAAAAGAAAAATTTTGTATAACATGTGATGTATATTATTATTATTATTTAATTTCACAAGTGTTATTATACTCACCCACATAGAATCCATAAATAAATCAATTCGTTTTTCAACATATTGCGGATGTTTGTCACTTTGAACTATGATTCGCAAGCCCTGTGCTCCATTTGTTCTACGCACACCGCTAAATACAATGTAGCCTAATTGTTCCTTAGTTCTTAAAATATTGAAGCAAGGTTCCAAAATAATTTGTGCTAAAAGCTCTAAGAGCATATTTGACTCTGTTGATTGCAAACCAGTTTGATAGTATATCTCTGTACATGAACTTTTATGCAATTTATTTTCTGCTTCAAATAAAAAATGACAACCTATAATGATTACATATTATGTAATATTGAAAGTAAATGGTGTCACATTAATGATTATTAGCATCTTATATTCTAGGATAAAACTTGTGTATAAAATGATCTTGCAGCAATAAATATTAAATTTTCTATCTATTTTCACAAGGATTAAAAGTATAAATTGATGTTTTTATTTTATATTTTAGTCTTTTTCATTAAATAATGTGTTTATTTAGTCAAGAATCAATAAAAGAAGAACAATAACATTTTTATATTTGTTTATATAATACTCTTCTTTAACAAATTAATATTTTCTTCCTTCTTTTCTCTTTATCTTTAAGCATATTAATTTTTAAATTATCATAAATTATCATCATGAGATTAAATTATATACTTACCATCTTCTAGTCTAATTTCACGATACAATATTAATTGTCTATGCAATAATGGCGTTATATGAGGCACTGAATTTGTTAATTTGGATTCGATTAATCTAACTGCATCTGTAGCCTCTGTTATAGTCACGTTACCATGTATCAAGCATTCTACGTGCACTTTACTGAGAAGTTGTGGTATAAATTGTTGGAGTCTATCGACAGTTAGATCTGTATAATATAAACATAAAAATTTTAACAGTATGAAAATTTTAAGACATATATTTCATACTAAATCATTAGAACTTAAAAAAATATTTACATATATATAAAATAGTTTAAATATTTAAATATATATTATTTGTTATAAATAGAATTATAGTATAAGTTATAAATAGAAGAACTCAAATATTTAATTATATAAATGTTGTATTTAAATTTTAATGTAAGTTTTAATTAAATTTGAAGAAAATGAAAGAAAAAAGAAAGAAAGAGAAGAAAAAGAGAAAAAAAGAAAAAAAATATTTTAAAATCATTTTATAAATTTTCTCTCTTTTATACAAACTTACAAGCAGTTGTTTCCAATAATTCATCTTTGACCCAGACTTGCTCTGCTAACAGAACTGCGAGATAGTAAACTGCATGTTGATATGGTTGTTCAGCAGCAAAATTTTTCAAATTCCTGATATACTGTAAGCCATACTACATAAGTACACTGTAGTTTAATTTTAAAAACACATTATAAATTTGATTGTACATACATTTTCCTTTAGGATTTCAAATCTCTTTGAATCAATCTTAAAGTTTATCATTCTGTCCATGATTTTTTCTAACAATACGCGTTGCTTATCATCGTAACCACCAATAGCAAGCTAAAAAAAAGCAATTAATCTTTTACTTCGAGTATGAATAATTTTCAATGATTTATAGACAATTTGATATTTGATGTAGATATTATTGTATATGCGGACAGAATAAAGTTTAGACTATATTTTACAACATTATTATTGTTATTGTAAATGTACTCACTGTTATTCCATATTTGCTATTACTAACTTCCCATTGTAAACCAGCTAAATCAGCAGCATATGCATACTCATTCAGAGAGTCACGAAATAGCTGGACAAACATATTACTTAAATTGCAACTAATGGGATCCATATATGCAAGTGGACTATAAGATTAAAGAAAAAAATCATCAAATTCATTACATTATGCACGGTTATACATTTAATAGCTTATATAATACCTGACAAAATCGAAGATCATCCTACATTTCGGTACAAGAAATTCATCATCTTTTTTAAACCAAAGTCTTATAAATGGTGTATCCTCTATAATTATAGGAAATTTTTCTACCTACAAAATTTTAATGCTTAATGCATGTAATGATATACAAAAATATTCAACCAAATTAATTCTTAAGCACACTAGCTGATGTCAATGTTAATATAGGATGTATACCCAGCATTTCAATTATTATATTGATTTATTAAAGTTATGTATATACACATAAAAACTGCCTTCATATTTTAATTATCTTGTATATTAATACTTAATTTGACGCCTATGAATGTTTTACGAAAAGGATCTCGTACCAACCTTGTGGAAGTTAGCTCTCGGCGGATTTTGATACCGTGAATCCGCTGTTGTGTCACGTTAGGGACCTTTCAGAGCCAAAATACCGCTTCGAATCGAGTTGATCCCACAAGAACTTTTGATCAGAATGTTGAATTGTACCTTTTTCCAAAATTTTATCAAAATCCACCGAGATCCAATTTCCATAAGGTTAGTGCGGGATCCTTTCACATTAGATATCAGCAAGGAATGCTCAAGAATTAATATTACAAAAAAATGGATTTTAATTACGTTAGCTTCGTGAGGCTTGATGTCAAACTTAGTCGCTATAAATTCGTTCTTGGGAGGAAATTGCAAATCCGAATTATCGCTGACGTTTTCCCACATGTTAATTATGTCTGTTGGTATCTTTTCTTTTTTATATTTAGTGCCATACCAGTTTTCAGTCTCGTCAGCTATATTTTCATATATTTTTCCAACCACATGAACTCTGATATTATGTGGCGTCAAATACTCC